TGATGAACCCACAAAAAAAAAAAAAGACAAACAAACACAGCAAGCAAAATAAAAACATATGCAAGAGATAGAAAGAGATCTAGTTCTTGATCTCGTTGACTAGCTGGTGGAACTCTTGCAGTCTCTCCTTCTTCACTCGAACTGCCCAATGTGTGAGACCCCCAGTCTCGTTGGGCACCAGAAACTGAACACTGTTACTGGTGAGCTTGTAGTCGAACTCTTTCTTCAAGAGAGTGTTCAGGGTGACATTTCCACTCGGGTCGGCACGGGCGACGACGCGCGCACGTCCAGTGACAGGATGCTTCAGAACTCGGACGGGACCGGTTCCTTTGGGCAACCAAGCGCTCTCAAGTTTGAAAACCTTGGATTTGTCTTCGAAGATAACAGTTTCTTCCTCCTCACCGCCGTTGCCCTTTGTAAGATCGAAAATTTCACCAGCTTCAACGTCCTCGTCTTCAGTGGAGGTGGTCTTCTTTGCTGTGGAATCATCGTCGTTGTCACTTTTATCCGCCTTGCGTTTCGGCGAGGGCGGCATGGGCCCGCCGAAAATGCTATGCGAGGACTTGGTCTTCTTGGCGAGGGAATCGTCGTCGTTGTCACTTTCATCCGCCTTTCGTTTCGGCGAGGTCGGCATGGGCCCTCCGAAAATGTTGTGGGAGGTGGGCGTGGGCCCGCCGAAAATGCTGTGGGAGGACTTGGTCTTCTTGGCGGGGGAATCATCGTCGTTGTCACTTTCATCCGCCTTTCGTTTCGGCGAGGTCGGCATGGGCCCGCCGAAAATGTTCTGCGAGGCTGGGACCGGCTTACTGGATGAGGAAGACAACACAGAGGGAGCACCGTTTGCTCCATCAGGAGCGGACGAGGGAGTAGTAAAAGCAGGGAAGAGATCAGGGGCAGGGTTATCATCAGCGAACTTGAAACCCACGCCGGGGACAAAGACGGCACGCTTATTAGCTGCAGCTTCGATTTGAGCGCGCTTCTCGCGTTGGCGTTCCTCATCTTTGCGCTCCCACTCCGCCTCATCCTCCTCATCGGAGTCAAACTCTTCGGCCTTTCTCTTGGCCTTTGCTTCAGCTATGGCCTCGTCCGACTTTGACTTGAACTGGGCAGTAAAATCGGTGCCAGTGGCCCCACTGCCAAACTTGGGAATTTCGAAGGCAGGGGCAGCAGCTGGAGGAGAGGGCTCAAGCGGAGCGACAGGAGCAGGAGCAGGAGCCGGAGCGGAGAAGGATTGGGCGAACTTAGAGGAAGTGGTCGATCCACCAAGGGGCTTGTTGGGAGGTCCTGGGCGCGTGTCATCAGCACCAGGAGGTGCGACACCAACTGGTGCTTCCTTGGCGGCATCGCGTTTGTTTATGGCGGCGCGTTTAGCCTCTTCATCGGGGTTGATCGTCCCAATGGGAACACCAAGCTCGCGGCGAAGTTCAGCATAAAGAATGAGGACGTCGTCAATACAATCAGTCATGGGGTCGCATTTGGCGACTTCACGCTTGAATGACTCAGTCAAGACGCCAATCTTCATGAGCAACTGGGCTCGGCTCCGAAGCTCGTCCCGATTCTTCTCACAGAAAAGACGTTTGAGAGGCATACTGTCAAAATCTTCAGTTGATACAGGATAGTCAATTGATACAGGATGATCAGGTCGTGGGAAAAGACTGTCAGGGTCTGAAGCAGTGAAAGTGTTGGAAACAGTAGAAGTTGAGGAGGAAGAGGGGAGAGAAGAAGAGGAAGAAGAGACAGGTAAACAAGACGAGCTTTTATGGTCGCGTGTAGACTGCGCGAACGACACATGAGGCGTGGCAGTTTTCGTCGCGACTTCCGTTTGAAGTTCATTCGACACCTTAGGCCCAGCAGTGAATGTGTTAGTCAATGAGCTATTCAGAGCGAAGTTGTTGTCATTAATGACCTCATTGTCCTTATTCGGCTTATTGTTGTCAACTGCTGTACTTGCACCAAAGAGAGATGTGCTCGGTGCCTGGGGCTTTGCAGCCTGCTCTGTCGGCTTTTGCGCGAATGGATTGCTAAACGCGGTCTGGCCTGACAGGTTCGCAAACGTATTGCTAGGTGCCGCCTGGGCTGTCTTTTCTTCTCCAAGCTTCGACGGCGCAGGAGACGCCCCGAACATTGACCCGAATTGTGAGGTCTTTGCAGTTACAGGAGTCTGCTCTTCACTTGTCACCTTGGGTGCAAAAACACTACTTGCCGCGGATTGTTCCTTTCCAGCCACAGGTGCTCCAAACATGGGCTTGAACGACTTGTCCTCGACTGGCTTTGCACCCGTACTCTCAGCCACCGGCTTTGGCGAGAACATATTGCCAAATGCTGGTGAGGCAGTCTGTTCTTTCTCGGCCTCCGAGGCTTTCGACACCGCCGGTGTACCAAACATGGACTTGAACGGTTGGTCCGCTACAGGCTTGGCAGCCGCATTCTCAGCGGCCGGCTTCGGCGAGAATATATTGCCAAATGCTGGGGCAGGCGTCTGCTCCTTTTCAGCCTCCGAAACTTTCGATACCGCAGGGGAACCGAACATGGGCTTGAACGGTTGTGCTTCAGCGACCTTCCCGGAACTTTCGGTCCCAGTAACCTTCGGTGAAGACAAAGTACCAAATGAACTCGGCGCCGACAGGTTCGCAAACGGATTGCTTGCCTTCGGTTCTTCTACCGCTGGCTTGGGCGCAAAAATATTGCTAGCAGGACCTGACGGCTGAGAGCTGGGGTTCGACCCGAAAAGAGTACCAAAAGGCTTTGCCACCTCTGTGGGCTTCGCAGGAGTTTGCTCCGCTGCCGTTGTCTTCGGGGCAAACAGGTTAGTGCTGCTGGTTGAAGCCTGCCCTGACAGGTTCGCAAATGGATTGCTGGCTGTTGGTTGTGGCTTCTCTCCATCCGAAGGCTTCGGAGCGGCGGGCGTTGATCCGAAAAGTGGTGTGAAAGGCTGAGTCTCCGCAGGTTTTTCAACTGTTTTCTCAGGCGCAGTTATCTTTGGTGCGAATGGATTGCTGGACGCTGTCTGCCCTGAAAGGTTCGAGAATGGATTGCCAAGTGCCGACGGACCTGCGGCTGGCTTCGGCGAAAACATGGAAGCTCCCTTGGGCTTGGTATCGGGCGAAGTTTGCATGCTGTCATCAGCAGGCGAAGTCATATGTGCTGCAGACTGCCCAAACAGGACGGGCTTTGCTGGAGTGCTCGTATTCTGTTGTGCTCCGAATCCACCGAACGACGGAGTGGACTGGTTTCCGGCATTGAATCCCCCAAAGCTGAATCCATTCGTACTTGACTGGGTATTTCCGCCAAATGATGTGTCTACAGAAAAAGGATTGCTCGACGGCGCAGATCCAAATGAGGTAGGGCCGGCGCCGAAGCTGAACGATACCTGACCACCAGCCTGGCCGTTCGTGCCCGACGAGAACATTCCACCCTGGCTGGGCCCCGAGCTTGCCCCAGGGAAGCTCTGGCTCTGAGTCTGGCCAAATGTGAACCCAGTTGACTGGGTAGGTGCCGGTGCCGCGGCCGGGGCCACGGATGCGAAAGGGTTAAATGAAGCTGCGTCAGACGCGCCTCCACCGGTTGCGGGAGTTGGAGCTCGGCGTTTGCGGACATCCTTGATCCTAAAGGTTTCAAAGAGATCTTCGGTCAGTTTGTGGTCATCCACCGCTACCTGAGTTATCACTTACTTTCTGCTTGCTAACTGGGCCGCTGTCGCCCGATGGGGCTTGTCATCCGGGGTGCTGGCCATCCCGAAAGCACCCTCATCTTCTTTTGACCCTTGAGGGCCTTGAGCTCCACGTTTCAACATATTGAGCGTATGAAAATCACCGTTAGTTGTATGTTTGCAAGCTCGAACTGCGCGAAATGCCTCGTGTCCTTCGGAATCTATGAGACCCGGTTTAAAGGCTTAAATCAAACCCGATGCGAGACTGGATTTCGGTATGATGCCGTGATAAGTTTCCTCACTTGTTGCAATCGAAGCACGGAGCGTTCGGTGTGCGGCGAGGCTCTTTCCGACTCCACCCCGACTCGAAAAAGCAACAGTTTGATAATGATTACCCCACTTAATTATTGTCAATCGTGGAGCAAAACCGAACTTGTCTCTAACGTCTTTGATAGGGTTGTTCGGTGGTATTCGCGGTTCCGTGACACGTTCGCGCTCCGTCGCGCAGGAAGCTGTCAGCAGAACGAGAGGATTCTCTAAATGGGAGAAGTGAGCTCGAAGACAGATCGAGGACGTATTATTGTCCCTGGTGATGATTGTCTTCGAATTTCGATATGTCCCACGACGCAATGAAGGGAGTCACGACTATTATTTTTTTTTTTTGGCAGGAAGCATCCAAGGCGGAAAAGAATCAATCACGTGACATTTCTTGGCAGCCAAGGTACATGCTTGGGACTTTCAAGCTATTGCTTTTGCCCACATGGGACAAAGGGATGTGATATGTTTGTCCGATTATCATGATTTATTTATGCTGAAATGGCTCACTTCTAGCAAATTATGTGTAAGAGAAAGGGGAATTTTCTATCCTCAAATAGAAGCCCCGCTCACTTCATGATGTCGCAGACGTTGCCAGCGGAAGAAAGATCCGTCTCAGTAACACTACTAGGTACACCTGAGCCTGAAAAGAATATAGAGGATACTGTTAAAAAGGATACTGTTATGCAAAGCAGAGACTGAATCTATGCACATAATGATTTCAGTCAGTGGGTTCAAGTGCCTCACCGATGTTCAGAACCGCCGAGTAAGTATATATAAAGTGACTCTATGTGATGTATGCGCACAATCTACCAGATAATCCAGGAGGCTAGTACCAATGGGTGGGCTGCACACCTTACAGGTGACCGGAGACCATGCCGATCTAAGTCTACCGTTTGAGTATTGCGACGTTCGAGTCAAGACGTTCGAGTCCGAATAAAGCTGAGTGTGACCTATAAGATGGAACCTTGGAAGTACCAGAGTCTTCAGTTTCGTCTCCCCGCACTTAGGGCGTGGCGTTCCGTGGGTCTGCTGACCTTATTTCCATTTAAGTTAATAAGAGTTAGGACACTTTGAATTCTGATATGAACATAAATCCCTGAGTGATTGGGTTTTCTTACCAACCGGTCACACACAGCCTAAGTCACATACTCCGAAAGGTGGCTGCAATGGAATTCTCAACTAGTCACATTCCATACCTTATCGGGAAGCATCCGCGACGAACTAGTGGTTTAGCTTGGATCTCCTACAAAATGAAATGTGTTAAGACATCGATTGACTGACTATTGGCTGACTTGCAGCTAGAGGCAGGGAACTTCATCGCTTGTGGGAAAAGATCAGCACCGTCTAGGTTGTATTCACGTATTCACTTTCTCATCTCTACCCGGGCATCTTCATATCATGAGACAGAGAACACGGCGTGGCAGAGGAATGGACTTCCCGGAAAGTAAATAGCCAATGGATACCCCTGGTCGCAGTCACTCGCTATCTATTTCCCCATCTCGAGTGGTATTTCGGGGTAGGATTCCTTAATTTGCTTTTCTTTCGGCTAAAGATGCAGTGTCATTGACTCCATCCCTTTTCTGTCATGCGCATGCCTGCATTATCCGATCGAGTCTATTGTCATCGCCCTGGTGGTTATACATAAACCATGTTTCCCCGGCCCTCGTTGCCCATGCCCCTGAATCCAGTGATTCACAAGCACCCCTTGAGCTGACTTAACCCTCAGTGCTTCAGGGTCAAGATGTATTATTCTTCTGTGATCAAGTATCTTTCTTTGCTAGCTGGTGCAAATGCACAGCTACTAAAGATCCCCGCCGTGGATGCTATAGTCAGTTCTGCCATGCTCCCCTTTGAGCAGTATGTGTCCTTCGGTGCTCCAACGAAAATCGCCTCGGCTGCTGTAAGCTTCGAAACCAAGGTCGCCGCGAACGCCAAATCTCCAGTCGCAGAAGCGGCAGCAGCAGACACTGCCTACTGGCTGGCAGACATCGCTCATCAAGGTGTAGCAGCCTTCAACGCAAACCCTTCTGGCTACAAAGTCTTCCGAAACGTAAAAGACTACGGAGCTAAAGGTCAGCATATACGGATTATTACTACCCCCGAGAAGCACTAAAGTAACATAGGTGATGGTGTGACCGACGATACGGCCGCCATCAACGCGGCCATAAGCGCCGGTGGTCGTTTTGGCCCGGCAAGCAGACAATCCTCCACAACGACTCCCGCGATAGTCTACTTCCCATCTGGAACGTACCTAATCTCCACGTCGATCATTGATTACTATTTCACCCAGCTTATTGGCAACCCGAATGCCATGCCCGTCATAAAAGCAACCGCAGGTTTTGTCGGACTCGGGATGATTGACGGTGACCAATACCAAAGCGATGGAAACCAGGGCTGGACGTCGACAAATGTGTTCTTCAGACAAATTCGCAATTTGAAATTGGACTTAACTTCAATCCCTGCCGGTACTGCTGCGACTGGCATTCATTGGCCGACTGGCCAAGCTTCCAGCATTGAGAATGTTGTTATTGTGATGAGTTCTGCTTCTGGAACGCAGCACCAGGGTATCTTCATTGAGAATGGTACGTCTGGACTTGAATTTCTTTCTGATCTACACTAATTCAATACCAGGCTCTGGCGGCTGGATGACCGATGTGGTAATTACTGGTGGCCTTTATGGTGCCAATATTGGCAACCAGCAATTCACAATGCGGAACTTGGTCATTTCGAATGCAGTGACCGCAATTTCTCAGATCTGGAACTGGGGATGGACTTATCAAGGTTTGTCGTTGTCTAACTGCACAACTGCTATTTCGATCAGCAATGGTGGTGCTGGGAATCAGCTCGTTGGCTCGGTCAATATCCTTGACAGTACCATCCAAAACTGCCCTACCTTTGTCGATACCGCTTGGCAGGCCTCGACGCTGTCGACTGGTAGTCTCATTCTGGAGAATATAATTCTGAAAAACGTCCCGGTTGCAGTCAAAGGCGTCAGCGGTACTGTCCTTGCTGGCTCGACGGGTTCCACGACCATTGGCGCTTGGGGACAAGGTCACAAGTATACTCCAAACGGACCGACCAACTTCCAAGGCTCTTTTACTGCCCCCGCACGCCCCAGCGCTTTGCTTGCTGGTGGATCGAACAGGTATTTTACCAAGTCCAAGCCTCAGTATGTGCAATCACCAGTAGCTGCTTTTGTCAGCATTAGGAACGCAGGCGCCAAGGGAGATGGTTCAACCGACGATACGACAGTCATCCAATCAACATTGACATCTGCCGCGTCTGCAGGTAAAATTGTGTTTTTCGATCAAGGAACGTACAAAGTGACGAACACTATTTATATCCCGCCGGGCTCTCGGATCGTGGGCGAGGCATATTCTGTTATCATGGCCACTGGCAGTGTCTGGTCGAGCATTACCAAGCCCGCCCCTGTGGTTCAAATTGGCAGATCTGGAGAATCCGGGTTCATCGAATGGTCCGACATGATAGTGAGCACCTCGGGCTCAACGCCGGGAGCTGTACTCATTGAGTGGAACTTGGCGGCGACATCAGGTTCTGGGATGTGGGATGTTCACACTCGAATTGGGGGCTTCCAAGGATCTCAGCAGCAGGTCGCTCAGTGCCCGACAAATGCAGCTGTTTCTGCAGCCTGTCAGGTTGCTTACATGTCCATGCACATTACCAAAGTCGCCAGTGGTGTTTACTTGGAGAACGTCTGGCTTTGGACTGCCGATCATGACCTCGAAAGCCCAACTAATACCCAGATCTCAGTGTATTCCGGCCGTGGTCTCTTAGTAGAAGGGAAGAATGTCTGGCTGTAAGTGAGAGAATACCCACCATGCTTCTCATAACTGACACTGGCGCAAGATACGGAACAGGGTCCGAGCATCACTCGCTGTATCAGTATCAATTCTCAGGTGCAAGTTCGATCGTGGCAGGGTTTGTGCAGACGGAAACTCCGTAAGTGATCCTATACATGATTCTGCCCTTTTATCTTCTATCCTGACCAACTGCACGCAGATACTATCAGCCAAATCCCAACGCAGCCAACGGCCCGTACCCTACCAACTTGGCCCTCAATGATCCCGACTACAGTAGCTGTCTCGGTGGAAATTGCAACTCTCTTGGCCTTCGGATCCTCAATACCAAGGATGTGATTATCTACGGGGCTGGGCTATACAGCTTCTTCAACAACTACAGCACCACTTGCTCCACATTCCCTCTACCGGAGAATTGCCAAAGTATGATCTTCAGCACTGAGGGCAGTACTAGTGGACTGATAGTATATGGGTTAAATACTGTTGGGACGAGTTATATGGTTGTGAAGGATGGTACTGCGTTGGCGACGGTTGGCGACAATCTGGCTACGTACGCTGCTACTATTGCGTACTTCACGTTCTAGAGTATCATAGTTCCATACCTTAAATATAAATGTGTACATCCAAGAAAAGCCTAAGCATCTCAAAGCGGGAAATTGCATTGGCGCTCGGATTCATAGGGGGATCCGGGGATATGGGAGCATCAGTTCTCTGCTGGCGCTGGTGATGCGCCGAGCTCTGAGTGTGCGCCTATTAGAGGTGCCCATGCGGATCCGAATTTCAATGTGCACGAGTGGGTGCAGGCGGGTTGGGGAACTCCTATTAGGGAGATATTTGATTTGGAGAAGTTATCAGAGCACTGTAAGGCTAGTGGGAGTTACAGCTTTTTCTTATCCAGCATGCCCTTGAAAGTCGGTTTCTTTTGATTATGGCTGTCTTGGGATTATGCTGATTCAAACTCCGTCTAGGTTATTTGGTGGTTTCGCTAGACCGCCTAATGCGTTTTCTATTTTCTAAACTTATTTTATTTATTGAAATGAATAATTTGAGAGATATTTTGACTCCAAAATGTCCACAGAAATACTGGCGGGATTGTTCCGCCGAGTGTCCCGCCGGGCGGAGAAGGACAACAACATCCCAAAGAGACTGACACTGAGACTGACTTGCACAGCGGGAAAGTTGAATCCGAGCTCCCGAAAATGGTGAAAATGTATAAAGACTTCACGGATCCTCCTACAGCCCCTCAATCCTCCAAAACAACAATTCTCAAATCATTCATTCTTCCCTATACACATCTTCAACACATCTCTGTGGCCTTTCTCACCCACTATGCCTATCGAAATCCCCCAAGCCAGCTCCCTCAAAGACCTATTCAGCCTCAAAGATAGGGTCGTGGTCGTCACCGGCGCATCCGGCCCCCGAGGAATCGGCCTCGAAGCAGCCCGCGGCTGTGCCGAAATGGGCGGAAACATCGCAATCACATACTTCTCACGACGGGAGGGAGCCGAAGCAAACGCCAAAGCCCTGCAGGAGGAGTACGGCATTCAAGCTAAGGCCTACAAATGCGACACGTCGAAATGGAACGAAGTGCAGGATTTGGTCGCGAACGTAATCGCCGACTTTGGCAGGATCGACTCGTTCATCGCGAACGCGGGCCGCACCGCCGACGCGGGTGTTCTCGACGGTTCGGTCGAAGACTGGGAGAACATCATCCAGGCGGACCTCAATTCGGTGTTTTACTGTGCTAAGGCTGTTGGCCCGCATTTCAGGGAGCGCGGCAAGGGGAGCTTTGTGATTACTGCTTCTATGTCGGGCCATATTGTCAATTACCCTCAGGAGCAGACTTCATACAATGTTGCTAAGGCTGGGTGTATTCATATGGCTCGTTCTTTGGCTAATGAGTGGAGGGATTTTGCTCGTGTTAATAGTATCTCGCCTGGATACATTAATACGGGTTTGGGGGACTTTGTGGATGAGGAGACTCAGAAGGGTTGGAATAATATGATTCCTATCGGTCGCCAAAGTGATCCTAAGGAGTTGAAGGCCGCGTATGTGTACTTTGCTAGTGATGCTAGTTCTTACACTACTGGTGCGGATCTGCGGATTGATGGAGGTTACATTTGTCGGTGAGGAGGGGTTGCTTTGAAGATACAAAAGTTGTTGTGTGGTCTCTTCGTATTTAAAAGATAAAATGAACAAGCCTTAAAGTGGATACTGCCTTTCTGAAACTTCCCTCAGAAGTAAAAGGAAGCAGGTATATCTTTAAGAAGCACGCCTGTAAGACAGGCCGAGAAAAAGCAATCAGACACAGGGAGAGAAAATTTACAATACCGGAGAAGGGAAAAGCAGCTAGCCCAAGATGCAAATCCCATGACTAACATGCACATTACACTACATTATCACAGAGTCAAAGTCCCTCCATCAATAACAATATCTGCACCAGTGATGTATCGTCCTGCACGCTGACTACACAGAAGAACAACGGCTCCAGTAATCTCCTCGGGATCTCCCATCCGGCCCATCGGACAACGAGAATCCCAAATCTTCCTGACATCGGCCAAACTGTCACCGGCATTGAGAATGGTGTCCATATATCCAGGACTAATACTATTCACTCTGATCCCATGAACAGCCCACTCAGCAGCCAGGTTCCGAGCCATATGCACGACTCCAGCCTTGCTCGCATTGTAAGCAGCCTGCGGTTGTGGAAAATTGGTATAATGGGCGGACATCGACGCAGTGAATAAGATACACCCGCCTTTGCCTGAGGATTCCATGCGCTTTGCTGCGGCCTGGGCGCAGAAGAAAGATCCATTCAGGTTGACGTCTATCACTCGGTTGAACTGGTCAGGTGCTACCGTGAGGGATGGTTGGCAGCCGGGGATACCAGCAAAGCAGCAGAGAATGTCGACGCCTTCCATTGTCTTGTTTGCCTGCTCAAATGCGGCTTCGATTGACTCCATTGATGTCACGTCCAAGGAAATCTTGGTTATATTGACAGAGGGGAACTTCGATGCTAGAGATTGGACTTGTTCTTCTGATGTCTCCAAGGTTCCAGGGAGATCCATGATACACAGTGAGGAAAGACCGTGCTCCAGGAGAGCCTGTGCAGAGATTAGGCCCAGTCCTCCTGCTCCGCCGGTGACTATGGCTTTGCCCTGGACTTGGAATCGTGCTTCCGCTCGTGAGCGAGCAGATGTAAAGGGCACTGGGGCGAGGGGCCGAGTGAGCGGACTTGATCCCTCCGACAAAGTCATGGTAGGAAGGATTCGGGAAGTCAGCGAGGCTCGCTGGTCCTCACTCGCTCCTGCTGAGGTGTCGGCAGACATATTGATTCTATAAGGTTGGATTTTGAGACAAATCGGTGCTTATCTAGAGATTAATGCAACAGTTCGGTTCTCGGGATTAGAGGACAAGAGAGTCCACACTGGGCGAAGATGATCCAACGAGAAGTGGAACCTATTTGGGATATTTGGAGTATTCGGAGTGCAACTATTGATTATAGAGGGGGAAAGGTCCTCGATTACTGCAAGTAGTGAGTTTGAGGCAATCCAATTTGGAAGTACGTGCAGATGGGGATAAGCGGCTGCGAGGCGGGACGCTTCCGCCAAAGCGGGGATTGCCTGAGCGGGGACGTCAAGACGTCCATCGGAGTGGGCTGATCCGAGGGTTATGGAGATAGTCCAGTAAACTGATATCGCTATTGAAGAACCCACTTTTAAGAGAAAAAGCCTGAAATGCAGTATAAGATTATGCTAGAGAGCTATGGTCTTTACAGAAGCTTGAGTATGTGGTCAGACAAGTCTAATCGGTGTATCTATATTCTTTTTTTTAGAGGAGAAGCATCTTCCTTCGAGGTTCATTGCTCTCCAATCATGCATTGTTGGCACAAGACCAACTTTTGGTAACGGAGTCTTCGTGAATTGCGACTCCAGACACCCACAATCCCAACCCGCACTGGAAAAGATTAGCCGCCATAAGCAGAATCAAGGAGGATACTTACAATAGCAAAAGCAATAGCCAAGACGAAAATATTGGTAATAGTCAAAACAGCCTTCTTCCAGTTCTGGAAGTAACGGCCCTTGTTCATATAAAACCAAAAGATCGCAGGGAGTCCAACTACTCGCAAGTCAGCATTTTTAAATTCCAAGAAATTATACAATGAGGAGTCAATCTTACAGCTAAACCAACTTCCAAAGACCGCACTCTGTAATCTCTGCATCAGCCAACGTTCTCTGTTGCATGGGATTTGTTGAAAGACTTACAATCAGACTCAGCAGGTCATTGAATACGGGGATAGATTCAGCCACGATCCAGGCAATAACCCAGACTCCGAGGCAGATAGCGACCCATGATCCAATCGACAGGAAGCTTCGGTTGTGCATCTTGTCGGATCCACGGAACATACGCACGTAGATGTATTTACACGCGACGTGACCCAAGACGACCCCGGAAAGAATGGTCTGCATTGAATGAATAAGGTGGATACAGGAGACAAGCGAACTAAAAGGATAAACTCACCGTTGGAATTGAGATACCCCAGGCAATCTTGCCCATCAACGGGCTCAGAGAGAGAATGGCAGGCGACTGGACACCGGGGCTGGTGGCTGTTTCCGGTCCCACGTAATGATAGATGAGCAGTGCACTAACAAGGTACAGGACGGTGTCGACGATTTGAAGCATGGCGAGTGACTTGTTGAATGTGCGTGGGTCTTCTGTCTCAGACATGAAGCCAAAGTACGCAACGTGGGCAACTATAAGATAGATCCTTGAATTAGCTCGGCTTACTTTGTCAGGTGCTGATGACCAGCATCATTTGGTGTTCCACGTACGGTAAGCGAAAATGATATTTGTCACCGCCAAAAAGCCATCGCGGAAGCTGACATCCGTAGTGGCTTCGTTCTTGATATGTCCTTTGCTCTCAACTCCCACCGTGATCATGGTCAATACTGTCGCAATGAAGACACTCAAGAATGCTTCGTACCAGTCAGTTGATTTCGCCCCGACTTGAATAGTGTCATGGCTGCACTAGATAAGGACTGTACTCACAAATGACGGACATCCAGTAGACTTTGTCCATAGTACGAGGCAAGGCGCCCAAAAAGCAGATGACCAGTCCAACGACACCAAACACCAACGTGCAGGTACCGTGATCGGTCAATACATTCATCAGGATGTTGAACATCAAGATATTGCTCGCCATGAGGAAGATTAACAGCAGCAGCTGGCCAAATCCTAGCAACTCACGGCCGAAAGGACCCATCAAGATCTCGCCGGCATCTCCCATGCTGTGAACTTCGGGATGACGAAGTTTAAATTGGCCAATAACATAGCCGGTATACCATGAAAGAGCAGAGATAAACAGAATAATGATAGCGGCGCTGTTCAACAATGTTAGCTATGGGGTCTCGAGACTGTCGAAAGAAATACATACGGAACCATTCCAAGGGTAGCCACCGCGGATGGCAAAGACAGAATTCCGACAGAGACATTCTCTGCGATCATAACTGGAATTGATGTCAGGAGTCGAAACTTTCGATGCGCATATCTCAAATTTAGCTACTCACGCATTCCACAGTGCCTGTTTAAGCATGATTAGCCATGTCCATGATCGAATTCAAATCTTCATGCAGAAAATAATAACTTACCACCATTTCATAGTCCGATACTTGATCTCCGCTGTCTCCTCATTTCCAAAGGGCTCCAATTGCTTCGCGTCCAATTGCTTCCCGTCCAATTTTTTCTCCAAGTCCTTTTCGAGCGGTCCATCGACCTTGCCGTCCGCGGCATGCTTTCCGTCAAACATGGTGAATTCTACCCGACTCAAGTCGAGGCTAGACCCTAAATTGGAAAAATTGATACTAGTATGTGTCAAAGATCAAAAGGAATCGGGTAACCCCGGCCAAGCCCAACAAAAAATCTCTGAAAGCGCCCCGGGGAACTCAGGTGGAGCCGAGACTTCGCCGAAAGATGATCGGCCCGATACAGTTTCATTGCCGAATGCGGCCATGTTTACGGCTTCAGATATAGTAATGGAATTCGAAGTGATGACATTAACAAAGAATATCCTAATTAGATGGCTGCTTTAAACAATATATACACTTTGGAAAGAATCAAATCAAACAAGGGTCGTAAATAGCCTTGGTGTGTGTAAAGTCGCCTGGGCGGTATTTAGAGGGGTTTTCGTGTAGGGCAATGTGTCAATGGAGATCTCCAGTTCAGAGCGAGATCTTCTCCAAATGGATCGAAGAAATGAGAACGGAAAGCAATCTTTGAGGGGCTTGAGTTGGTTAAATATCTTTCATCTACATCTCATCGTAAGCTCTGAGGACTCGGGCAGGTGTTGATGACTAAGGCGGGACAAATGCGGGTCCGTCCCGGCGGAGTTTCCCGCCGTATCAACATCAACAGGGTTCATTTACGTAGCCTTGATCATTGAAATCCATATAATTTCACCACATGGAGAACGGCCGTAAACGTGCTTCTTTGGCATGCAACTATTGTCGGAGGCGGTAGGCTCCCCTTACTCCGATAACTGAGTTCCCCAATGCTGACGGACAAACAGGAAACGCCGCTGCAATGGCGCGTTACCCTCCTGCGGCCTATGTGAGAATTCAGGCATTGATTGCGTTTACAGCGAAGTTGATTCTTTGAGGTGAGAGACCCATTTATCCAACATCTTAGCAACGTCGCTAAACTCCGACAGGCCTCGAGTAGAGACTTCCTCTTCGGAGTTCTTCCGCCGTCTTGATGCAATTGAGAACTTTCTATGGAGCCACCCGAGGCTCCCTCAAACACCCCAGACTGGTGAAACGAGAAGTGCTGGTTTTGCATTCCCATCGTCCTCTGAGCATGAAAGAGCGGACTTTTCTCATCCCTCCATGTTGATTTCGTCCCCGTCGAGACCCAACCCGGCAGATATCTCCCAGCTTATCACTACTAATTCGTCTTCTTTCACACCACCTGAACATGATATCCCGCCGATGAGTATTCCCATCGGCCACACAACAACAACCGAATATATGCTACATATGAACAGAGTAAAAACGCTCTTTGGGGAGTTTCCACCAGACCTGTTCATACGCGCGGAATCAAAAAGGCATGTGCCGCACCAGCTATCTTTCGTCCCGGGTACGATTGCAGCAAGTCAGTTGCCAATCCTCGATCAGGCAAGCACCTATCCACTGGTGGAGGCATATTTCAAACACGTCCATGTTGAGATGCCAATCCTCGACAAAGACCAATTTTTGGGGCTTTATGATGATCATACCAGAGCCGGTCTGAGTGTTGACTGTGACTCTGCGCTATGTCTTGCAGTTCTTGCATTAGGATCCGCAGCCCTCGAGCAAGTTGACCAGTCAAAGTCCAGCTCTCCATTCTGGGTGCCTGGGGAAGATTTCATTTCACCTGCGTTACAGATATTGATGAACGAATATTTACTGTCGTTTTGCCCCACGATCACTCTTCCACAAAGTTTGATACTCATTTCGAAATATTTTGGGTTTCTTTTACGCCCCCTGCAATCATGGAAACTGATCCATATGGCTTCTACCAGTATCCAGTATTTGAATAGCCGGTTAGTTAATACTCCCTACTCACTCTCTTTGATTTCAACCATATTGATCAAGTATCTGTTCGAGATAGAAGCCAAGCTTCTCCAGGTAATCATGAGCTCAAGTCCAGCATTATTCTACTATCATGGGCAGCGTTCGATACTGAGTGGTTGGTTTCCTGATTCAATATGGATGACCACTTTTATGCTGATATTGATGACAGTGATCTGATAGCTGAACACCATTTACCACGGAGTGGTATCGAACATGTAATTGATCTGACACCTTTCCCAACCTTTGCAAATCATGATGCCCAAGAAACACACGTATTCCTTGCCGAACTGTCCGTCCGTCGTCTGCTCAATAGAGTACACCACACCATGTACGGAAGCGACTGGACAAGGCGGAGCCTTGGTCTACAGCCAGCTTCAAGCGACAGCCCGTCGTATGACTTCCAGTCACTTTCTACAATCCTGAATGTCTCTCAAGAACTTGATCGACAGCTTGACAATTGGTTTGACTTGTTACCGCGAACAATCAAACCAGATATTAACGATCCGTCTCGCTGTACTGGCCTTCAACTCAATATGCTCCACCGCTTTCATTCCGCCAAGGATATCATAACCAGACCATTTCTTCTTTGTGCGATTGACTCGTCGCCTGAGAATGACGTTCCACCTATGGTGCTCAAGCAGTGCGAGTCAAGTATAGCCAACTGTCGGGCGTATCTCAATGCCTCAGAGCGGAGACTGATGGGCCCGTCGTCTTGCGCGGAGATCATTATTCATACGTACGTCCACAAAATACTTCATCCTCGAATTCAACTCATTCTTGGTTCTCTTAGGATGTTCTCTTCTATTCTTCTCCTGACCCTAGGCTCTGTTTGTCCAGCTTTGGCGCATTTGGTACCGGATATTGATACTCTGCAGAAGGACACGATACAGAGTATCAAGCGATTTGCGGTGGACGGCTCTTTGATGCAGGAGATTCATGGAATAATTATGTTATTGCACAGTAAAACACGAGTTCTCAGGCGGGCTATGTAGCCGTCTTGATTTCGCATTTCTTGTTCTGAGTCAAGATAAGTCGCCTGCCTGGCTTCAATCTTAAATCAGTACCGCATACCAGTAGTAGTAGGAAGATCCATTATCTTTGATCCTTTTTTCTTAGCACCTTTTTACTTGACAGTTGCCTGTGATTTGGCAACGCAAGGTCCAGATTCTGTTGAATGGGCGGCCCCGCGGCGGATGATCCCGCCAGATGATCGCCCAGCCGTTGAAGCCATAGCGCCTTGAGAGTCACAACGTCATGTCTTCCTGCAACGGCCATTATAATGCCATTACATTGAACAGGTACACGGTTAGTTACGTCTCTCCATGATCCGTGGATGTTCCAAATACCAATTCTGACCGACCTGCCTCCATAGATGGCACGGGCCAAGCGGATGAATATTGATCCAGCCCCACGTTGCTTCACGAAGGGATGCCCATGTGTCAACCCGAGGCTACCGCGAAGAGCTGGCACTGCTCTTGGGACCAAGCATGAATCAAATTCTGCTGGTCCAGGGTATTTCCAGATCGCAGTGTGACCAGTTCTGGGTATGAACTCATGGGGCCCCCTTGCTTCGGCTTGCACCGGCTGACCAATCCAGGACTCGCATAATGCGTGGCTGTCACCTTGTGCATTGCCCTACCTGGCATGCATCCCGGCTGTCATAGTGTTGCTTATTGCATTAAGCCACATACTTGGATACTCCTGCCAGCGGTGGCGCCCCAAGTGGACTGTTCCTTTTGTCTCCGAGGAACAAGATACTCAAGAGCTCCCACTAGATCAGCCCAAACAATCGTTGCGATGGACCGCCTGTCTTCTAGTATTTTCAGTCACTGGACTTCTGGCTGAGACAGTTCAATTCGTTCCTCCAAGAATTGACGCCTCGGCTTTTGTGCTTGTTCTCTCATGGGTCAGTTCTCCACGTCTCCAGCTGGGGGTATCAGTTGCTTACTAGGTTCCATAGGCCACAGCATCTATTCTGGTCGCAGTCAAGCGGCCCAGATCATGTTCTATCTCGTTGCTCGCGTATTATATCTTAGCATTTGCAATTGAACTTTCTCTGGCAACTCACCCAAATGTATGCCCGAAATTCAAAATTGTTACTCGCTACATTGCCGCAGCGGCAGCAGCAGCAGCCTGTGCAACAATCCTCTTAATGCCATTCCGCGAGCCTTTGCTCTCATCAACAGATATCAGCGCTGTTGGTCAGCAGCCATCTAATGACTTCCGGACCCCGGAAGATAATCTGAAGCTTTGGCAGTTCCTCACAGTGTCGTGGATGGCCCCGCTTATCTCAATTGGGCGCAAAAGACAACTACATGAACATGATGTCTGGCTGCTTGGATTTGACTTTCGACACAGCCGGCTGCATGAAAAGTTTCGTCGACTTCGTGGCTCTGTCCTCAGTCGACTGCTGAGAGCCAATGGAATTGATGTCTTTATCATCTCTACCATCTCGTTTGTCCAGATGATATGCGGTATGGAAATTCGGATTTGTTCCATTGTTTTATGCCGCTAATCATATTCACAGACTTTTCTACTCCCGTTCTATTGCAGCAACTATTGCAGGCTATGAAAGACCCGTCCCGACCAAAACGGGTACCTTTGACCTATGCTTTCATGTCCTTCGCTCTTCGACTTGTCGCTGCACAGTCTCAAGTGTTACTTCTGTGGTACGGGCGGCGATGCTATGAACGGTCGAGGGGTGAAATGATCATGATGGTCTATGAAAAAGCCCTGTCACGGAAGAACGTATTTGGACTGATGATCGAGGCCAACGGATCATCCAACGCGGAAGCAATTGGCGTCAATGATGAACCCCCTGTTGAAGAGAGCAATCAACCTCCATCCAAACCCGAGGAACGTTTCTGGCAACGTATCATTTCTCGCAACCAAAAGGCCCCACAGAAACAAGCGAAAGAAGCTGCATCACTTGGCAAAATCTTTAATCTCTTGCGCGGAGATGTTTATGAAGTTGCGCAGAGATTCTGGGAGGTCGACTCATTGATTGACAAGCCGTTAGGACTTGTGATAGCTACCTTCCTCGTCTGGACACTGTTCGGCCCATCTTGTTTCCTGGGGATATTAGCAGTCCTGGTTGCACAGGTCGTGAATGCACTGGTAACTAGAGCTCTCCTCCGTTGGGAGCGAGTTAGACGAGTGGCAACGGATACAAGACTCCAAATAACTTCGCAATTCGTGGAAGCAATCCGGCACCTGCGATGGTACGGATGGCAGAATCATTGGCTTCAGCAAGTAATGGAGGCCCGCCAGCATGAGTTGAATATTCGGATTGTGACTAGTCTGTGGAGTATCTTGATTCGCTTTATCAACGCTTTTGCAAGTGGCGTGTTTCCAGTGGTTGCGTTGTACGCATACACCTTTTTGGCCGGACATGAGCTGCGGGTTGATATCATCTTTCCCGCATTGCAGTTGTTTACCATGTTAGAGACCCGTCTTCGGGATATTCCTGGTCTTATCACATCGCTTATCAATGCCTTCATTGCCCTTGGGCGTATCGAGGACTTCATGTCCGAACCAGACAAGGAGAATCTACCTTCTGAAACCCTGACGAACGATGCTCCACTCTCGATGCAATCTTGTTCGTTCGCGTGGCCAGGAAAGGTCTCACCCGTCCTTGTTGATGTCGATGTCACCATCCCCAAAGGACTGACTGTCGTCACCGGCAAGGTCGGCGCTGGAAAAACCGCATTTCTGCAAGCTCTTCTAGGCGAACTCGATAGACTTGGCGGCTCGGTTCATATTCCAAACGAAATGGTGGGATATTGTGCCCAGACCCCGTGGCTGCAAAGCATGAGTATTCGTGATAACATTCTATTCTCCGCTCCCTACCATGACCAGCACTACAAGCGGACACTGGAAGCCTGCGCCTTACTTCCAGATCTTGCTCAATTTAAGCATGGCGATTTATCGTTTGTGGGTGAAAACGGTATCGGGTTATCAGGTGGACAAAAGGCGCGAGTAGCTCTGGCAAGAGCTGTCTATAGCGCATCGCGGGTTCTCCTTTTGGATGATCCCTTGTCTGCATTAGATCACAATACTGCGGAGCTGATAGTCCGCAAATGCTTTTTGGGGCCGTTGATGAAAGACAGAACTATCGTTCTAGTGACCCATCGAACTACGTTGGTCCATCAACTTGCGGATCAAATCATCAATATTTGTGGAAAACATGCCACTGTTTACAACAAGGGTACTCTCAAGCTTGACGTGACTGAGCCCTCTTTGCGATTTATCGACCACGAAAACGAAACAGAAGCAGAAACCACCCTCGAGGAGGAGACAGCCGCCGTGCCTGATAAATTCGTCGAGGAAGAGCATCGAGCAGACGGGGGTGTCAAGGCTCGAGTGTACTGGAATTATGTTAAGGCCGGAAAGTACCGATGGTGGCTTACCCTCGTCCTGACCCTGGCAATCTACCGACTGGTGGCTGTTGCGCAATCATGGTTTCTCAAAGGGTGGGGAGAAGCCTACGAGCGGACAACTGTCTCAAACTGGGGTGAGAGCTCATCACAAGGGGCCTGGTCAGTCTCGAACTGGAGCATGGACACATATTTTACGCCCCCGAACCCTATAGACCAATTGCCGTCTCCACGTGAGGATGTGCGACCCTGGCTATGGACGTTTTTTGCCATCATCTCCTTCCAAGCGGCCACACTCCTTATCGCTCAGCTTCTGATGCTGGTCATCGTCTATTATGCTGGGCAGTCCTTGTTCCGACGGGTATTGGTCCGAGTTAGCCATGCAACCTTCCGATACTTGGGTAAGTTTTGTAGCTTCCAAGGTTGACTCAACAGGACAAAGCTAACCGGTCATTCTCAAGATACAATCCCTCTTGGCCGCTTGATGAACCGTCTCACATCCGATATTGGAGTCGTGGATGGCAACATTAGTGAGCAATTCCAGGTGATTGCCTTCCAGGCCATCACCTGGATCTCTTCTGTCCTGGTAATTGCCACCGCTACCCCGGTATTTTTGTTGTTCTCCCTAGCCCTCACTGTGGCGTTTGTCTCGGTATTCCTGCGTTTCCTTCCCACATCTCAAAGCCTACGACGACTGGAGATGGTGTCCCTAAGTCCTCTGCTGTCCAACTTCGGCGAACTATTACACGGTCTGACCACTGTCCGGGCTTTCCATGCAGAGTCACAGTTCCAGAACCGGGTCATATCTGTGGTCGACAAGTTCCAGGGGATGGACCATTTCTATTGGTCACTCCAGAGCTGGCTCATGTACCGGTTTGAGGGCCTGTCTGCTTGCTCAACATTTTGTCTAACAGCTCTGGCGTTATACACCAATACCACACCAGGACTGGTAGCATTCGTGCTTATTGCTGCCAACAACTTCGTCGATTCTACACACATATTGTGCAAGCAGTACGGCCAACTTCAAATGGACTTTGTGTCGGTAGAGCGAGTCGACGAACTACTCCATATCGAAGAAGAAACTCCCGGGACTATCGCTCCCCCAGCCGCATGGCCAACTTACGGTAGCGACGTTATCTTCGAAGATGCAACTCTCCGTTACGCACCACACCTCGACCCCTCGCTTATAAACGTCTCTCTTCGCATCCCCGGGGGGTCCACTACAGCGGTTATCGGCCGTACTGGCAGCGGCAAGTCCACACTAGCAATGTCCCTTATGAGCGTCATTAGACCTGAATCAGGTCGCATTCTCATCGACGGCATCAATATCGCTGACGTTAGCACACAAGCATTACGCACCCGAGTTACCTTCGTCGCGCAAGATCCCGTCCTCTTCCCCGGTAGCATCAGACTCAACCTGGATCCAACGGAAGATTATTCCGATGATCTGTGCACCGAAGTCCTGGGTCGTCTGTGTAGTCGGCATGGCTGGCATCTTGGTACACGTATTGAGGCTGGAGGAAGAAATCTTAGTCAGGGTCAACGGCAACTTATCGCTCTCACACGGGCTGTCCTTCGTCGAAGCGCGATTGTCATTCTTGACGAGGCGACTGCTTCCGTTGACCACGATACTTCTCTTGAGATTCAGCAGATTATCCGGGAGGAGTTGCAGCAGTCTACTGTCATTACGATTGCGCATCGCATAGAAGCTGTCAAGGATGCGGATTACTTTGTGGTTTTGGATCAGGGGCGGGTTGCTAGACAGGGGCATGTGCGGGACTTGTAGATTTGGCATCCATCGATCCGACCAACCGATGGTCGCGGTCATTGGCACAATAAGATCACTTGAAGTTGAACAACCAAAATATGCCGAAAATAACAAGCCGAAAATAAACGCCCTAGTAGATGAGGGACTTCGTATATAATTTCTCAAAAGGGTATCTAATCTTCACAGCTTGGCACCGCCCTGGGCCTTCTTCAGGATAGGCTCCATCTTGGTCGCCTTCATAATGTTACCCTTAATCTTCAGCTTGCCGCCCATGAACAAACGCTGAGCGTTGGCCTGGCCGGAAACGAGCTGGGCGAAGTCATTATCGGAGAGGGAGAGGGTCACTATTGACGGAGAGAAATTAGCATTCAGAAAGAAACACACGTCACATCCACACGCAGATCAGGGATGGAGACTCACCGTCAGCCTTGTCGCCAGCAGGGGCAAGACCCTGTCCAACCTCGCCCTTGTTCTTGAGGTCAAGGTACCAAGCAGCCTCCTCACCACTCGAGTTCTTCAGGTTGAAGGCGAAGATGGCCTTGGCCTTGCCGAGGGCATCCTTGCGGTCAGCTTCGTTGGCCTGAAGCGTCTGGTTGATGACGTCGAAGGCAGCGGACGAGGGGTGAGAATCTATTCCCATTAGCTTGGTTCTGACTGGTATAGCCAGAGAGAAGGGGCATACCTTTCTTGAGAGACATGGTGAATACGTTAATATGGTAATACAAAGGTGATGGTAAGTCACCAAGGCGGGTGGCCGAATATAAATGACAATCTGCCAGAGCATGTGAACTCACAGTCCACACGTGCCGAGGCCCCCAACCCACACTTTCCCCACACCGAGGGAAACTCTGTGTCTGTGATGCTTCCTTTTCGTCTTTTTCTTCTCGGTTCTCTAAGATTGTTCCTGGACTCGACTAAGATCTTCATTTCCTTTACCGTCCAGAGCCTTGGTTCTCTCCCCAGTCTTCCCCGTGTTGACAGTTCCTCCCTAGGAATTTCCCTCCGACTCCACACAACCCACGCTAATGTTGCATTGGGAGCTGAGAGTTGCACAAATGCGGTATTCACTGCGACACTACCACAGTCATTAACCTTAGCCTATGCCAATCGTTCCTCGGAACAGAACTTTGCGAACCCCTTGCTTTTGACGTCACCGCCAACTAAACACCGAAGACCGCAGCAATCGCTTCACATGATCCGGGCTCCCCCACAGCAACTCGCGTGTCCGGGATCCCGCTTTGGCCAAGCTTCTCAACGTCCTCTGACCTTTTTGTTGCTGCAAGGCACAAATCGCCTTCTGTAGCTGTTTTTGGCTGACTCCCACTGGACTCAATACTATCGGCACATCCACGGTGTCGGTGTCGCGCTGACCCTGCTTCCATCCCTCACTGCCGCTGAGTCTTGTCAACGGCGCGAGTGCGTTGTCCCAATTGCCGCTGCGGAGCACCACATTTTCGAAATTGAACTCGCGCAGGGAACTCCGGTGCTCCTGGATGAAAGACGCCACTTGCGACGCGTCCATTGTTGCATTGACCAGCTCCATCTGTTGAAGATTCTGGAACTTCAATGGCCGTAAGGGTAACGCAGATCTCTCAGGGCAGGCTTGACTCGGCTTCCCTTTGGCTGCACTGTTGAGGCTCGGCTCTGTTGCAAGTGACAAGGGTGAGAGGCCCCTCTCGCCTTCCCAATGAAAGACCAGTCTTTGCAGAGACGGGAAACTTCCTAGATATGCGTGGAGGAGCTTGAGGTGGTCCGTCGGTTGACCTGGCTCATGGCCGAAACTCGTCATGTGGACTGTGAGCTTGCGGATCTGCGACCAACGCTTGCAAGATGCAGGCGAAGCACCAAATCCTAGAGCAGGACGCAGGTAAAGGACTGCTCCTGGGTGGACCGATAACAATGACAAAGTGTGGAGATCTTTCAATGGTGCTTGTTCGATTGCCATTCGCAATGAGATCAATGCATAATCTACTACACTTCGGCGGTAGCGATGGCTTGGTACTTGGCCCTCGCAGGAGATTCGCAGATGTTGCAAGCCGCTCATCATCGTCAATGCCTGGACAAATGACGGGATATTGGTAGATGCATGGAACAGAGGTGGATACTGCTTGACTAGCAACTCTGTCATTTGCCGGCTGCCATACCTTGGGCTACTGCCACCAAGTTGGCACCGTTGTGGCGTGTAGATAAAGGTTTGTTCTGTCCCCATGATCGGATCCAGGAGCGGGGGTAAGAATGTCTCCCTATCATGTGGGATCTTAATCGTCATGGCTTGGACATGTCCCCCAATGTGCTCTAGAGCTGCCATCTGTGATGGCTTGTCAAAGGTGCTGCTGCGAAAACGGACTTCAATATCCGCGAAGAGGATTGGTGCGAGATAGACAGCCAACCTGTGACATACTAGACGGCATGAGATGAGATCCTTGCTTGCTAGATGGCTCGTGAGAACCTGTTGGATGCGCTTCGTCTTCCACAGTCGAATTAGCCCCTGTTGTGATGCCATGATGGATAGTTTTTTCCTGTAGACACCCTTTGCATATATATCACTGAAGGTAGTAGCTCGCTTGATTGAAAGGTGAGCACTACACGTAGACGGTCCGTAGTAGAATAATTTAGTATATCTCTCAAGTAATCAATTGCTGAAATAATACATACGAACAAAATTTTCTATCTTCAGACTTCACATTGAACAGTACATATTGTTTATCCCCCCTGGTTTATGTTTCAGCTACATGTAAGAGATATTTCCCCTGGTCTAGATATCGGAACCAGTTGTAGCCCGAGCTGTACGTCGAATGTTGTACTCCTACTTGTCGTATAGCATGTGATTCGACAGTTCCTCTTGCAACCCAGGCACCATATGAGTCATATCAACCTCTCACAGTCACGATCGAAATGTTGAAACTAGAACTAGATGCTGTCTCCGGTGTCGAGCGCCCAATTTGGATAGCAGGGCAAGTGCTATCTAGCCCTGTGTTTAGCCTGTTTGGCGCGTGACGCGCCCGATCACGTGTTGATAAGGGCGCGCGTTCCTGTCAATCAAAGGTTGTTCAGCGATGCAGGGAAATGAGGAGAATTACCTACATGCTTCTAAGTATTTGTGAGTACATTACAAGAGAACATTTTCTGTAAGACCTCAATACTTATGTGCGACGTATAACAATGAATAAAACTACAGTGCCTGAATGAGGCTCAAGTTCAGGAACCCTGGTGGAACCTTCAATGTCGGCACAGTACTGTACCCGGTAGCGGCCAGAAGTGACTTTGGTACTATTGGCTTGTAGTCGTTCACCGCTCATGTCTCCGCCTTATTTGAAGTTATTTCTTAACGCTATGCACAACATCTAACTATAGGGTACTCTTGTTATATCAACCTCTTGATGAGAGGTTTCTATAAATTTATAGTGAAGTGGCCATTTATACAGAAGCAGAACAGTCGGCCGTTTATACGGCCTCTATATTTACTGATGTAAGACTTGGATAATCCGAATATCCGGTTTCTTTAAGACTATAGTAGGGATGTTTCAGTTAGTAAGTCTTGCTTTCGTCTCTTCTTAAGGTCTTTTTTAAGATGTCTTTTAGATATCTTTCCAATATCTTTCAAGGGTCTTTTAAGATGTCTTTTTAGATGGCCAATTTTCTGCTGGCAATAAGGGTCAACAGGACTAAAGTCCTACTGGTCGCTATACGCTGCGATACGTGATGACATCTTGGGCGACAACTTCAACTACCCCCCGCAAGGTGGACCTCTCGACCCTGGGGGCCAGCTGAACGGTCGCAAAAAGCATCGACTCTCGTGTCTTCTCTATCGGATCTTTTGCACTATAAAGACGAGGGCCCTCTCATTTCTGCGACCGCCATCTCTTCGCTCCGATGTCCTAAAATCCGCTCCGTCATCCACCGATTCTCCCCGGTGAGTCGTCGATAGTACTCGATGTAAGTCTACATCCTCTGCAAATACCCGGACTAGGTGGCATAGAGACATATTATGATGAATTGCTTCTATGCTTTCTTTCTCTTCATCACTGTGCCATCTGCCACTACCCGCTTTCTGCCTTGCCGTTTGCTGATGAGAACCCAAGTTTCGCAGACTGACTCCCGGAACACTTATTCTTCATCCTAGGCGCCCACTTGACGTACTATCTCTATTGATCTTGGACTTTGCCTTTTATCCTAGCCGTCACACCCATCGCCGTCGCCACTCTACCACGCCATCAACAATCGGGATAATTTGGTCAGACAATTTGGTCTTGGAAGGTTACATGGTTAGCGCTAGGTGCTCTTGAACCATGGCTTCTGCAGTCGATCAGTCCCAAGAGGACAAAATCAAAGATATTCTAGAAGACCTCGATACGTACAGATACATCTACGATGATCTCCTCGCAACGCGGGGTGCTTGTGCAGAAGCAGATGAGCTTCGTGATAACATCAGAAAAATGGAAGTCCAGGTCGCCGCGCTCCTTGGTGATCCTGTTCCTAATCCTCAAGCCGCCCCGACACCACAAGTGTCGTCGCCCCCTCCGCCAGTCCGGACGCCTACTGCTCCACGCATGGCGTCGAATGCTTTCACTGGAATCCCTGGAGATTCATTTGCGTCCCCTCACTGGCCTTCTGCTGCGCCCTCGCCTTTCGCGTCCAGCTCTCGCCAGTCGACGATTGTGCCAGCTCCACCAATGGTACAATCTTCTCCAGATAATTCTCGCAAACGCCAGCGTCCGCTATCTCAAGTCTCACCCACGATACAGGGATCATCGAAAAGGATCGCTCCCTCGCAGCCTGAATCTCGCAGATCTCAACTCGATGCGATAGATGCTGAACAAGAAACTCGACTCGCCGAGAATAACCGCATGTACAAGGAATTCATCGATGCGGCAGGTGACGATGCGGATCAACTAAAGGAACTTCGGGAAGAGTGTGCTGAGCAGGCAAAGTTGATTGCAACGGAGTTTCAAATGAAGCGAGACGCAGAACTGGCTCGCGCACTCCAAGCCGACGAGGATCACAGTCAACTCCCCATCGATGGCTTCAATGAGCAGGATGCATGGGATCTCCCAGATCGCACTCACCCGGTAAAGCTCGAACCTACCTCTTCAAAAGCCACTCGCGCCCCTCAAACATATGCCCCGATAGCCCCATTCAATAAACTCACTCCATTCAATTCCGATGATGATATTCAGGAAATCACAGCTGATTCATTCAATTCTCGATCCGGCAAGCAGCCAGCCCACCAATCCAGTTCCTTCAACTATCCCCACCTGGCTTCGCCATATTCCAAATCCCCATATTCCTCACAGGCGCCCCGTCCTTCCCAGCTGCCATATCCCTCCCAGTTGACATACCCCTCACAAATGACATACCCCTCCCAACTGCCATACCCCTCCCAGTTGACATACCCTTCCCAACTGTCTTATCCTTCCCAGATGACATATCCTTCTCAAATGGCTTATCCCTCCCAATTGTCGAATCCCTCAAAAATGCCATCAGCATCTACCTCCAGAGTTCTTCCCTGGGCGCGTGAGCCTTCATACGCTCCGATGCCGGGCGCATATGACAGGTTTGACAAGGCCTTTGACCTGGTTCGCAACCAGAGCGAAATATTCGATGATGATGCTGACATAGTGTATGTTCCGCATCTTTCTTTTAAAGCAGCGAGTTCTGGTTCTGACCCATTCAATATAGGGCCTACAACGAGAAAGAGTTCCCTGAAGATATCAAAAACTTGCTCAGCGGTATCAAAGACATTCGGGAGGCCACTAGAGCGGACAATGAGGAGACACCAAGCGCGCTTCGAGTCACATTGATGAAGCACCAGAAGATTGGCCTGAGATGGATGAAGGCTAAGGAAGAGAGCAGTCACAAAGGAGGAATTCTTGCAGATGACATGGGCCTTGGTAAGACGATTCAAGCGATTGCACTGATGGTTGCTCGTCCATTTGAAGATGCAGACCGACGCCCGACTCTGATTGTCGCACCTAAGGCACTTATGGATCAATGGAGACTCGAAATTCAGCGCCATGTCAAACCCGGAAGGCACCAATTATCGGTCTTGATCTACCATCAACGGCGAAGGCCCTGGAAGGAGCTCAAAAGGCACGATGTCATCATCACGACATTTGGTACCATCACTGCGCACTACAAAACATTGCTCGAGGCGGAAAAGTTGGCAGAGGAAGGGGCGGATCCCTCCCTGATTCAAGATGTGAAAGATACGGCCGGTCCTCTCAATCCTGCCGCCAAGTGGCACCGAGTGATCGTCGACGAAGCACAGAACATCAAGAATCCAAGTGCGAAATCTTCAATAGCATGTTGCCGACTCAATGCTACCTACCGCTGGTGTCTGACTGGTACGCCCATGATGAATCGGCTCGAAGATTTCCAGTCCCTATTGGGATTCCTCAGGATTCGGCCTTACAGCAACCCAGCAAAGTTTAAGGCTGTCAGTACTCTTTATAGCCCACTATTGATGCTTCTTTAGGTGACTAACGTTTATATTTTATCCAGGATTTCGTGAAACGCATCAAATCTGGTTGGGGAGGAGAGGATGTCATGAAGCAACTACGCGTGCTAGTCAAGTCTGTCTGTCTCCGACGTACAAAAACCTCCAAGATTGACGGCGAGCCCATCTTGCAACTCCCACCAAAAGTCACCGAAAAGGTCCATGTTGTGTTTGATGAGAGGGAAAGCCAAGTTTATGAGGAGCTCAATACGTCCACTCAAAGGCAGATCACCCGATACCTCGACTCCGGAACGCTGGGTAGAAACTACAGCCATGTTCTAGTTCTCCTTCTCCGTCTTCGGCAGGCTTGCTGCCATCCACTCCTCATGCAGGAGTTCCGAAACGAACCTTCCCCGTCTATCCCAGGGGTGGATAAGATCGCCAACGCCAAGCTTCTGAGCGCTGCTGTGGTGCAACGTATCAAAGAAAATGATGGTGATGAGGATGGCACCTGCCCTGTATGCATGGATAGTGTCAACAACGCGACTATTTACATTCCATGTGGACACCACGTGTGCTCGGAGTGCTGGATCCGGATTTCTGACTCTGCAACTGCGAATGGAGCCATCAACCTCGAAGACGATGGTCCGACTGTGATCAAGTGCCAGAATTGCCGAGGGCCTGTGGACCCTACGAAGCTCACTGACACCAATGCGTTCAAACAGGTTCACGATCCAAGTTCAATGCCCGAATCTGCCGCTGGAGCCAGTGATATCAACGGGGCCAATAATGACGAAGACTCAGAAGCCACAGCGAGCAGTGATGAGTATGATTCGGATAGCTCTACTGAAGAGGGCGACGCGGGATCGAAGAAGAAGTCGAAGTCGAAGTCTCTAGCCGAGCTGCGAAAGGACGCTTTGAAGAACAAGGCCGAGAAAAAGAAATACATTCGCCGCCTCGAGAAGGGCTGGTTCCCCAGCACAAAGATCACAAAGACGCTGGAGATCCTCCAAGCCAATGAAGACCGCGGCTTAGAGGAGAAAACTATCATTTTCAGCCAGTTCACCTCCCTCTTGGATCTTCTCGAAGTCCCCCTCGCTCGCCGCGGCTGGAACCACACCCGCTTCGACGGCAGCATGAACCTGAAAGAACGCAACGCCGCTGTGACGGCTTTCACCAATGACCCCGCTTGCAAAATTATGCTCGTCTCCCTCAAGGCTGGTAACTCCGGCCTGAATCTCGTCGCCGCCTCGCATGTCATCATGTTCGATCCTTTCTGGAATCCGTACATCGAAGACCAGGCTGTTGATCGTGCCCATCGCATCGGGCAGGTTAGGGAGGTCTTCGTTCACCGTTTGCTCATTGAGAACACCGTCGAGGATCGCATTGTCACTCTCCAGGACCAGAAGCGTGAGCTGATTAGTGGTGCTCTCGATGAGGGTGGTACTATGAATGTCTCCCGGCTGGATGCGAGAGAACTTGCTTATCTCTTTGTACGTTTTTACCTTTATTTCTTTTTCTCAATTTTACTTTTACCGCGCCCTTTGCTAACTCCTTATCCATTACACAGGGTGTGAGAGACTTGTGATCATATTTGATTGCATGTGTCGTGCGTGTGTGCCGGATGATCTCGATCTCAAAGACCGGAGATAGTCCGATGATATGACTGCTATTTCATTTTCCTGCCATATCCAAATGATGGGTGGCTGGCGTAGAAATCAGTTACTTTTTTACTTTTTTTTCTCTTGGAGGCCCATGATTGCTATACCCTGGCGTTGTTCTCTTATCTCGTGGAAGGTGTTGTGCTATTCAATAATGTCTGAAGGCCAGCCTTTACGATATTGTTTTTTAGAAATTTTCTCTTTATTACTCGTGATTCAAGTAGGTTCTAGTATTCAACTCGACGAGATTTTCAGAGATCTAAATGTACTGTCTTGAGGGTGAATAGATATTCAGCGTTAAAAAAAAGAAGTTTGGAATCTTGTTGAAAGAGGACATGCTTTTTTGGATGCTGTGCTCATTTCGGGGAGGGAAAAAAAAGACAATTGGGATGTGAGTGTCTAAGCTACTAAGGTTGGGGGAAATCAAAAAGGAAAAAAAAATGCATGTCTTCAAACCACGACTATCCCCCGTCGGCTTTTCATTTTATCGTGACTTCGGAGAACAGACTTTGCGTTTGCAGTGCAAAACCCAAACTAAAAAAAAGCAATGCCCGGGAGTCGTATACCTCCTGTCTCCCACGTGGGGGAGAACATGGGATAGCGACTCCCAACTTTCGTTTCGGAAACAGTTTGAACGCACCGACTTACAGGTCGGCATCGTCCTCGTCGGGGAGGGGTTGGTTGGCGGCCTCCTCCATCTCCTTGCGGTAAGCCTCGAGCTGATGCTCGTCAACGGTAACCTCGGGGGGAGCGAGGGCAATTCCGGCAACGAAGTCCTAAAAGACAATAGGTCAGTATCGATCGGCTCGTGTTCGAATCAAGGCACAAATGACGTACGAGCTGGGGGTTGCCAACAAGCTTGCGAGCGAGCCAAAGGAAGGGCTTCTCGAAGTTGTAGTTGGACTTGGCGGAAATGTCGTAGTACTGGAGGTTCTTCTTGCGGTGGAAGGTGATGGTCTTGGCCTTGACCTTGCGCTCCTTCACGTCGACCTTGTTACCGGTAAGAACGATGGGGATGTTTTCGCAGACCCGGACGAGGTCACCTAGAGTTCAGTTAGCCAAAAATGATCTGGATCGTTCGCTATCAAAAAAAAAAAGAAAAACTCACGGTGCCAGTTAGGGACGTTCTTGTAGGTGATACGCGAAGTGACATCGAACATGATGATACCACACTGGCCGTTGATGTAGTAACCATCACGGAGACCACCGAACTTCTCCTGACCAGCGGTATCCCAGACATCGAACTGGATAGCACCGTAGTTCTGTTCAAGTCGGGTTAGTTGAAACGATAACACCATGGCATGGTTCGAAGCGGGGTTCTTCGGCGGGGTAGGTAGCATACGGTGTTGAAGTTGAGGGGGTGCACCTCGACACCAAGAGTGGCGATGTACTTCTTCTCGAATTCACCAGTCAGGTGGCGCTTGACGAAAGTGGTCTGTTGGGATTCACTGTGTTAGTAATGAAGTCGCGGTGAGGCGAGGCGGTTGGGCAGATATTGAGTATTGTTGACAGGCGCGGGGTGAGAGGGTAGTCACGAAAGAGCAGCTCAGTGTTCTCATGAATATCATGAGAAGACCATCGCCGAGCAGATGGCCGCCACTCTGAGCCCATGCCCATCAACAATCAGATATCGAGGCTCGAATGCGCTTACCTTTCCAGTACCACCGTCACCGACCAGGACGAGCTTGAATGTGGGGGTTTCAGCCATAGTGAAAATCGGTAAGAGAGAAGCTTGGAAAAAAAGAGCGTTTTACGATTTCGCGCCGTAGGGATGGGGGCGGGTTGTTGATAGAAGGGGGGTGAAAGAAGGGGAATGAATTAATAGCGCTGGATGGAATTTTTGCCCCGTCGCTGGGGGTCACGTGTGTGTATGCCTGAGGCGTTCTGACGTAGTGTCAACATGGCACAAACATATCAGAGGTTGCTACTTTAAATGGCAAATTTTACTAAAGTGCAAGTTATGTTCATAACGAGCTTTAAATGTTTTTTTTCTCGCTTTCATTATTAGAATAAGTTTAAATTCTCGTGGTTAGGTCTTCGCCTGCCGAGTGAGTTCTCTTCAACGCCGTTGAAATGCATACGACTTCCCAGTCTCTCTTTTTACAGGAACACAGGTATTTTGTGGAAAAAAGCAGAAAATACGTCTCGCATTAGTCATAAGCAGCACATATCGTCAATGTACACGGTGGTCGCAAAACCGGGCTATGAGTGGAAGGGTCCCCTTATAAGGGAACCAAGTGACATCCTAGCAGGCCACGGCCGCCCCAATTTTGTCGAGGGGTGAGCTGGAGGCCCAATTCCGTTGTGGTGTCAGCATTTCTTTCATCCTTCCGACAGACTTTGACCGACACTGCCCGCTGTAGAGAAAGAGAGTCAGACATGTAGGAATTTTGACAGAGGGCATGGAACCGAACGTACCCCTTCATTTTCTTGAACCACCTGGGCAACCTTTGAAAGACGCTCGTGGTTCAGCCAATTGATATTCCCAAAACTTCGAATTAGATCGCCAGCTTTCAGTCCCGCCTGGTCTGCTGGACTTCCCAAGACCACGCTATTTACTTTGGCAAACGGTGTCCCCAACGCGGTGTTATTCGTCGACGACTGTACAACTGGCTGGACGTCGGTGCCATTCGTAGTTGGACCAGCGCCTTGAGTATTTTGTAGGTTGGCGAAATGTGCGTGGACACCTTCTTCGAGAAGTTTCATCACCTCCTTGTGGTCGTTTCGTAGGTGGATAATGCGCACGCGCGTTGTGCGAACTACATTCTCCTTTCAGCGATATGTCCTAATCGACTGGTGTGTGTGTCAGGGGCGTACCTTGCGCGATGTCGATATCATCACGGGGGAACCCATCGAAGGTTGTGAGAGATGAAGTCATGCGTACTCCATGCTGAAATTGGGGGGGGGAACATGTTAGGAACTGCGATAGGAACTTCTGGGTCTGAAATCTCACCGACTGGAGGACGCCACTGAGAGCTGACAGTTCCGCCTCGATACGTTCTTTCTCCTGCATCAGATCTGGCATCGATAATTTGGACAGATCGCGGGGAGTGCCCCCGGTCGCCGGTCCAGAGGCAACAGTTGGAGCGTGAATGTTATCGTCCATGATAATTCGCTGAGCAAAGAATGAAAGTGAGAGAAGAAGGTCAGGTGGGTCTGGGGTGGCAGCCCTGGAGCTCCCACTATTTTATATAAGCGGCGATGCTTGGCGCTCGAAGTATACGACTTTGACCTCTTCAAGTTTGAAAAACTTCACTTTCAGGACATCATATGCTAATATCTTATAGATAGGAAAGGCTGACGCGCTCGCCGGAGAATAAAATATAAAATGTGTTATTTCAATTCCAGCTATCCCGCTGCCTTACCTCATGACGTACATGGATGGGATTCAAATTCGCAATCTCTACTCTGTACTGCCTGGATAGTGGCAGTTTCCCCCTGTTTTCTATACGTGCACTTTCCGACGTCGGAGATGTAGACGAGGCAGGCACTCCCCGTTGCTCTTCCCTCGCCATGAAGTTCGATCCCGTTGTTTCGGGCAGTCGGTTAGGTCCGCCTCCTCTTTCTCCATGCCCTCGGAACCTGAGTGTTATATTTTATTGGGTGGGATCGCTGCTTGCGACCATGGCGGACCAAGATGAAACAAATATCGAGAAACAAGCCCTGCTGGATGATGAATCCGAAGAGAAGTTCGAGAGCAGCAGTGGAGTGACCCCGAGCGATAAGTCAGCTCCTCGTCCATTCAAGAAATGGATGGACAGCTTTCGAGGACGGAAACACGAGTCTTCCGCATCATCCCAGCGGCGTTACGTGGATGGCTGGTCAGATTCGTCTTCTCATGGCTCGCAAGGTCACCAGTCGACTGCATCCGACTCATCGCACCTCGGAACCGTCAAAACAACCACAGCAAGCATTGGAAGCCAGAGTTTGATAAGATCGAGGACAACTATCCAAAGTACGACAAACCAGAGCACACTATCAGATGCGCGTCATTCAGGCGACAGCTCCCGGCCAACCTCCAGTCACCAAGCTGATGAGGCTGCGGAGACACGGGCCACCAGACGGCGCCATATCCTACAGGAACTTGTCGAGACTGAGTCTGATTATGTACTTGGTCTGAAGGCTCTTATAGGGGTAAGCCATTGAGCTAATTTCTATCCTTTAGTCTGATGCTGATGTGCTCTATAAACCCCCAGATCCTTACGATCTTTGATACGAGGCGCGAAATCTATGGCAACATCCAGGAGATCCTTGGAATACACGAACGATTTTTGACCCAACTCCAGACGGCATCTCCCTTGTCAGCACCTCAGGCTCAACATGCAGGCGCCTCTGAGCTTGCGTCTCGTGGAATCACCAAGCGTATAGGGACTCTTGATCTGGGCAGCCTGAAAGGACTTCAGCAACGCTCCTTAAGGACTCGATCACTGAAGGCATCGGTCAATCAACGCCTGCTGGCACTCACTGCTGAACCAGCAGAGGCACTAGAAGTTGCCCGTGAAGTTGGGAAATTGGTGAGTATCAGAATACCAAATACGATTATATGCACTGACTGACTGGCCATTTCATAGTCACTTTCATTCCCTACGTACGACCAATTTTGCAGCAACTATGAACTATTGACACAAGACGTTGCTCTCTTGCGCCGGTCAATTGCCAACTGGACAATATATGATCAAGGAATCGAGGCGCTTTCAAAGTCGGTCGCGTCCACTGAGCGACGCAGACAAGAGGACAACAAATCAATGACATTGAATGACTTGTTAATAAAGGTGCGTTATTTCGACCTGGTGGGTGTTTTCGACTACTAAGAAGAAGATAGCCCATCCAACGTCTCTGCAAATACCCCCTTGTACTACAAGATCTGCTCAGATCTACCCCTGTCAGTGATTGCCCGTCTTCCCATGACGGAATTGAGGCAGTTTTGGAAACCATACGGGGGCTGGTAACACGGATCAATTTGGCCACTGGAAACCCGATCAATAAAGATCGCATCCACAAAACAATCGTTCTCCAGGGTAAGGTGGATATCTCAAAATCGGTAGGCAAACAGTATCCTCATTGATGGGATGAACATGACTGAGTATTTTGGGCAGCACGCACTCCAGAGTATATATAAAGACCTAGGCCCGTTGGTCCTGTGCGGTGTACTCCATGTCACATATCAAACGGCGGAAACCACCAGCGGAGAGTTCATGGTCTGTGTGCTTTTTCAACGTTACCTTCTCTTTGCCAAGGGAATCGATGACCAGCGTCGACTGGAAGCAGTGGCCTGTGTCTGTCTAGACAGTCTCAAGATCGATACGCTTCGAAATGGACGAGGTGAGTAACCTTTCGAGACTTATGCTCAAAGTATACATCTAACTCATCAGGACTCTATTCATACGGATGTATATTTTCATGGAAGCTCCTGTTTGAGAACCAAGATGAGAACCACGAATTTGTTCTCAGTGCATCATCGGCAGCGGAAGAAAAGGAATGGAATACTCAGATTCTCAAAGTGTCGGCCGCTTTGGTCGAAACGGCCCAGCCTAGGACGTGGGAGCCAAGGAAACATTCCTTCTTGGCCCTCCCACTGTTGCCTCTTGACCATGTCCAATACACAGTGTCTTCGATGGCGCGGAGGTCATCGATGGATTCAACGACAATCTCCCGCAAGTTCCGTATCCAACATGTAGTCATTAAGAAAACTCACTACCCACGCCACACCGAAGAACCAGTCACGCAGACTGAAGGCGAGATTGAACGGCCTAAGACACCTGTTGACCGCTCTGCATTGACATTGACCGCTCGCCGGATTGACCGAATCCGGCTGGAGCGACTGATCTCAGATGTCTACACTTCAGACCTCCTTCCATCGCCAGGGATGGTTCTTGGAAGGGGTGACCTATTCCGACGTGGTCCAATCATGAGACGGCTCACCCTTCGCCCGGGGATTACCAGACGGTCGACCTCCGTCAGTACATTCCATCCAAGAGCAGGATCAACCGAGATGCGCTCTGAGGAGGAGAACGAGGGAATGGACAAGGAGGCAGCAGGCAGCAGCCAGATAGGGGAGGATAAGGAAGTCGAGTGTGAGTTGCCTCGGACACCCACCACGCCTCGGCGGTCAAAGACATTCCTTTTCAAAGGCTCACCCAAGAACCCCGCATCGTCTGTCTCCTCGCCCCGTAGCGACAAGCGACGGAGTCAGGATGGAAGTTTCGAGACATCTCCATCTTCCAAGAAGTGGTCGTCTCCCCAGAAGTGGTCGTCTCCGAAGAATCTCTTTAGTGCGTTCGCATCCAAGAAGCCAAAAGACCCGATCTCAAGCTGAGTGAAGTCCCTATTGTTATGCAGGTGGGCAAGTGTTATTGTTTTGGGAGAGTTCTGGTACATTCGAGGGGAGCTTGGAGTCAAGGGGGCATTATAATTAACCCAAAAACGTAATTGTGGCTTTGGAGTACTATAACTAATTATTAATTGGAATGCAAGCAGATTCTACAACTTTGCCACTTGGCTCACTGACAATTATCCCCACGTTTGGCGTCACAGCGGATCCTACAGTGGGCAGGGGAGCTACTATGACGTCGACTGCTGCAATAGTTGGCAACTCACCTTGTAGGAACTGTAGTAAAGTGAGGGACTAGGACCACAAATGACACATAAACATATCCACTGTGAGTTAATTGTACTTGATTGTACAATTGCAGACTTGTCCTGTGTGGACGAAGAGAAAACATGCGAGCAGCTTCTTTTTTTGTTTGCATCAGCTCATAGTTGACGTCACCAGTCATCATCACCTGAGCTCCCATGGGCTATTAAACCATCAGCTTTTACCTTGGATCTTCTCTTCACTCAACATTTTCTATCTCTTTAAGCCTCCTCAAGTCTCTTCAATCTCTCCGAAACTCAACCTTTACATCCTTCAACATGACTCGCGCAAAGGAAACTGCATCCAAGATCTTCTACAAGGGTAGCTCGGACGACTTCATTGTCTTCGTCGACGACCTTGACACCCTCAAGAAGTGGAAGACTGACCGCAGCATTCCTCTGACTGATGTTCTCAACGGTTGGAAGATTTTCCTGACTCGCTCGTAAGTGCTTTCGGCCTTTTTGTCACGGTCAGATCACTAACAGCTGGATGCAGCCACGGAGCCCAGGGCCTCCTTGATACCGCTAGCCAGAGTGCTCTTCAGAATGAATTCGGTACGACCAAAGACGACGAGTGCATGATCAAGATCCTAGAAGCTGGCGAATACCAGCCGTCCCAGGTAAGTTTTTTAGTTCGCCATCAGTGGACCGATTGCAGGGTTCTATATACTAACTCTACTTCAACAGTCACGCGAGCGTGAGGGATACACAAATGAGTGCAACGGTACTCGCTAAATGTGTTCTCTACTCCTTTGGGGGCCAACGGGGAGACCAGACAGGTGTTGCTGTCTCATCGAATCGCGCCTTGGACACCTACCTCCCCTCCTTTACCCCTCACATTGACCTCTATTGAGACGTCCATATCCCTCGATCGTCCCTTGTCTGGCACTTTGGCGCATGGTCCTTCGGAAAACGTCATATGTGACACCCTCTATCCTCAGCTCTGGAATGGGCTTGGAGGGATTGTTCGCCGTTTCTGGGGTTGCATCTTGGTACTAACAGGCTTCTGCACCTGATATAATGAGATAATGAATGACGAGCGACTTCACTCGTCTACAAATACAAATACCTTTTTTCCAACTTCATCTTGAACATTTCCATGCGTAAATCCATTCAATACTTCAGCAAGCAATGATCATAACTCATGATAGTATATGGTATAGCGACATCATCTATACAAACAAAAGCAACATTAAATCGAAAACCCCATATCAGATCTCATCTTTCACCACCACAGAATCCAACCCCCTCTCCCCCCTCCTCCTCACAACCCAACTCCCCAGCTCCGCCCAAACAGCTTCCTTTTCTGCAGGCTTCATCCCAGCGGCAAGCCCACTAGTCGTCGTAGCGACGAAAACCGGCGCACCAGTCCAACCATCACAACGACCCATATTCTCCGCCTCCGCCTGCCAGCCATACCGAAACTCCTCCTTCCGAATCCCCCTCCCATGTCTAACCCGCCAAACAGCCTCCCAAATACTCTTCCCAACAAGACAAACAACCTCAGGCCTCTGCGCCGCAACCTTAGCTTCAAGCACAGGCACACCCGCATCCATCTCCGCACGACTGAGCATGCTCGCGTCGCGCGTCGGCCGCTCCACAATGTTCGTGTTGCCCACGCTGTACAGCGCAGGAAGCTTGTATGTGTCAGCGGGTATGTGGCGCATGCTTGTTATCCCGGATGAATAGAGCAGTTTCCAGAATAGGTTTGACGGGTGCGCGTAGGCGTACCCCGTTACGCCTGTCATTATTCCGGGATTCACGCCTACAAGTAGGAGGATCAGGTTCGGGGGGATTGTATCGCGAAGGAGGGATTCTGTGGCTGAAGGACCGGCTATTGAGGGTGTGGGTGCTATTTGTGGGGTTGCTGTGCTGCGCTTGCGTTTGTTTGGGGATAGAGGCGTGGCCATTGACGTCGACTTTGAACGGGTGGTGCGTGGGTGGGTGGCTGCGGTCGCTGGCGCTGCTGTCTGTGGGACCGTTCTCTTGCGTCTTGGGCTGGAGATGATGGGGTCTGCTTGGCGTTCGGTAATTTTTGGTTCATATGAGGCCTTGGTGTTCTTTATGCGGTGCTGCGATATAGTAGTTCTCGAGGCACTTCGAGCTTCGTGCGTTGCGGTCCCATTATGTAGGAATTGCTGCAGCCTGCCATTGAAGCTGGTGATTTTGTTGACTGGAACATCGTCCACTGTTTCAAGTGCGGGCTTGTCTTCCTCGAGTTTGGGTTGGATTTCTGCTGACGGAGGCATCTTTTCTGGTGTCAGTCAGATTTGGTTAGTTCTCGGGTTCCAAGTAGCCGGAGATCGTCCACGACATATGAACAATGCCCAAGGCATCTATACGAGATGTTTTGGATCTCTAAAAGTAAGTTGTGGGAGTATCGTTATCAAAATGACGAGTTTTTTGGGCCTGGATAGAGAATCACGTGCCGTGCGAGTTGTCGTTGGTGCCTCGTTCAGAAGGCACCAACATTTGATAGTTAACTATACATTGTCAGTTTACTATTCTAAATATCAAAATATCATGAGAGAACAGTCTTGTATTGTCATTTAAAGAACATGGATCTTTACATCTGCACAAATTGAGAATATAAGCAGGAAGAATCCTCGGGTATTCCCTATATGACCACACCACCCAGATGGAGATTGATGATACAAGAAATGCCACTCTTTCAAGTCGTCAAGTTCGTTATATATTAAGCTATTTACATGATCTGCGTCTGCTGCACTCAACACACCAGACTGAAGCACTGTTATGCTTTAAATATTCCTTGCCGTTTTGGCAAGGTCCAAGGCTCCGGGCAGACGACCTATACATCCTCTCGTTAGCATAAGAACAGCATGTGTAGAAATACGCGGAACGCCATACCTCGCCTTCGCTGTAGGCCCAGAAATAAACGCCGATGCCAATCAAGTAATATATTGCAGGGTCGGTGCCTTGATAAAGAAGCGCCGCAAGGAGGGTGCTGAGGGGGTATATAATGAGACGGATTTCAATGCTGCGATGCGGTGTTGAGCCAGCAAAGGGCTTAAGAGGCCATTCCCAGGCTATGCCCACGAGGCCCATGATGAGGTTTAGGATTTGGAGAACGGGTACTGGGGCGACGGCGGCATCGAGGTTCCTGGAGATAAAGTCCCAGAATACTTTGGGCCAGATAAAGCCCTCGACAGCACTGGCCACCTGGTCTATTTCCATGCTGTCAGCTCCAGCTTCGAGTGGGGAGTGTTAAGTGGGCAACATACAAGCTGCCGCAGTGAGAATGATTAACCGCCCCCAGTGGTTCTTGATGAGCCTGCCCATTGTGCTGAGCTATGGGCACTTGGCCGTATGAAAACTGTGTTGTGCGTGGTATGGCTTCGTCCAGCGAAGATCTCGGAAGAGATGAAGTCACTTTAGTGTGAGTGACAAAATGCGGAGCTAATCCTGGGCAACATATGTTGCAAACCCCCAATAGCTGCGACAAATTCTGTGAGAGGATCACTTCATCGTATGATTGCAAGCCGCAGAGATTTTTACTGAGTTGGATAATCCAGAGCACATGGGAAGTGGATAATATTGCAAGGGTTTATCGAGGTAACATGATCTCATATGGGGAAAGAAAAAGCAGCATGCTCCGAGCGGCATACTTGCAGGTTGGACTAGGTATAAGAATCTATACTTAGACTAGCGACCCCTCTGATAACTCAACCGGAACTTGGCACAGTTTGCCAGGATGTGATTGTCGAGCGCCAAAAAGGTGAATCGCTGCACGGGGTTGGTACACATGCAAGAAGAATAGGGCTAAAACGTGATCCGCACGGATGCAAGTATTGTAGACCAATCACCGGCTCAAAGGTCCTCGAATCCTTGACAACCCCCTCTTCCTGAGCTTCTTGAAGAACCGACATAGGCCGTGTGATTGGAGAGTGGGGGATGTGACGGGGCGGATCGCAAAGTGGATGTCCGCAAATCAGAGGCCGTGGCGCTTGGGCTTGGCGTGATGAACTGCAGGTGGCACGCATGGCACGCACAGGGACCTTCACTCTCAAGTCTCATCGACATTCGAATTGTATTTTTATTATTTGAGGATTTCAACCGAGGCCTACGTTTTCCGCACTGTCTGGGTTGTCTCATCTTTGTGCCAGAGACAAGTTTGGAACTTTTCCAGATCAGATGACCGCGGTAGCCCTGATTTCAATTCAGTGCAACACACCGTCTTTCTGCATCTTCTGCAACGTCAATCTGTGCCTGATTTAACTTGCAGTGCTAAGTGGAGACTTTCATCGGGAGGAGAAAAAAATGGTTGATGGGGAAAACAGAGCTCGAGCCAGTCACTATTCTATATTTGGGCGAAACGTCAACGCACTAAGGGTCCTAAACCGAATGACAGGTATTCTCACCGACGCTGGGCCACCCTCGGGGTCCCGTGTGACGAAAAGACAGCGCTTGCAGGAGGATTGTAATAGGCCAATCTCCCAGCAACCCTCTTTCCTTGGCCTCATTTAACGCTGCCCACTCACGGTCCCTCATGGCCACTCACTAGCCTCTCTGCCAGCACCGAGGCATTAATCTCTTTTGAACTTCGGCGTCGACCCGTTCAGCTTCCACCCACCCAAGCCCGCCATTAGTAGAGCAAAAAGCTGAATTGGATACGACTGGTTGAACTGGATGTGCTTCCTTTAACTGACTCGCTTCATCGCGGGGAACATGGCACGGTGGTCGGACTCCTAGGCGTATAAACTTCGTGCCATGATTGGTGTGCCTGCTGCGAACGGTCATTAAAAATAGCAAACTTCTCAGAGTATTAATTTAAACTCTGGTCCAGGATCATAAGCAGGACCTTTGAGAGCCTTGGAAAGAGTAAGCCAAGATAGTAGTTGTAAGAGACCAGGCAAAAACTGACGAGGCTTTTAAGCGACCAAGATTCTAGCCTCTGGACTTCCTCTCCTGGTCTCTCTCCACTACCCATCCCTAGGAGAATTTGAAAAGCACAGACACCGTAGGCTTGAGTACTCCATAGTCTATTGGACGGAAATCTACCGTAGTCGGTTAGACGGTTAGACGGAGTAGTGCCCGCCAGAAGCGATGTAATTATAGATCGGCCGCCCCCCACCCCTGCAGCTAAAACCACAACACTGGGATTCTCTGAACCTCCAACTCTCCTCCGGTCCTGTCCTAATTCATGTATTGACGTCAATCATGCCTGGAGCAACTTGAATCAACTGATAAATTATCATATTTTATCCTAAGTGTGCCAGTAACCTCTCGTATTCGAGAGGACACGCAAAGGGGAATCCCCCGGCGAAACGCCAGCAGCGCTCACGACGAGGCGCGCAACCCAGATTCAGTTTCTATACATCTTGATTGAGCACTATCGCAAGCTGCGAGCGTGCCTTTCCCAGTGCAAGGTGTTGCATAGAATTTGGAACGTTTTCAAATCCGTCCTTCGACTTGGAAGCGATATCCCGGAAGGCTCTGGTTTACGCCAAGTTCATGGAGAAACAAGGGCGTTTACGAACTTCGAAGCCACTGACCTCTCAATATTGACGCTGGAGTCTTGCTACGAAAGAGGATCAGAAGATTCCGCTTTTGACTGAACTTCAGTGTATATTACCGGGTTGCTGGTCAACCGTCTGGACTTGTCACTCCTTTGGTTGAATTATCTTTTATCGTCTAAATTACTTGTCGCTGGCCGACATTCTTAAAAACACAGAGAAAGAATGGCCCCAGCTCAAGATTCGTGGTGGAGCAGGGCGGAGTTGACCGTTTCCAAGGTCTTGTTCCATTTGTTCTTTTGGGGTTCACATATTGGTATCTTTGCTGTGGGATGGTATGTATTCTGACGTCTACCAGCTCCTAGATTGCGTCGCTGACTTCCTCATAGGTACCAGCAGGCATCAAATCCAAAGTTGGCGTTGCTGAATAACCTCAGCTATTCAGTCTGGATATCGCGAGGTGCAGGTCTCGTCCTTTCGGTCGATTGCACTTTAATCCTATTTCCCATGTGTCGGAACATACTCCGATGGCTGAGACCGCAGATCAGATGGCTACCACTAGATGAGTCGGCGTGGTTTCATCGCCAAATAGCCTATGCCATGCTAGTATTCACAGCTATTCACACCGCTTCTCACTACGTCAAGTATGCCGCTGTCTCATTCAGCTTGTCTTTGTCACTTTGCTAACACTAACCAGTTTCTACAACATCGAGCAAGAGCAACTACGCCCAGAGCTTGCAGTAGAGATCCATTTTGCTCGCGCAAGTGGTATCACTGGCCATGTGATGCTCTTGTGCATGATGCTCATGTACACAACCGCACATCACCGCATTCGCCAGCAAGCATATGAAACCTTCTGGTATGCGCATCACCTTTTTATTCCGTTTATGTTGGCGCTTTATACCCACGCCACTGGGTGCTTTGTCCGAGATACCGACCGCCGTATATCCCCTTTGGCAGGACAAGAGTTTTGGGATCATTGCCTTGGCTATGAAGGGTGGAGATGGGAGTTGGTCATCGGAGCTTTGTACCTCTTCGAGCGACTCTACAGGGAGATCCGATCCCGGCGCATGACGGTCATCACAAAAGTCATCCGTCATCCTTATGGTATGATCTTCTTTCACAGATGCTGGATTGACCACAGCTAACCGATTACTTTAGCCGCCATGGAGATCCAGTTCAACAAACCAAGCATGAAGTACAAAGCCGGACAATGGGTATTCCTCCAAGTACCTGATGTTTCCAGTACCCAATGGCATCCATTCACCATTACCTCCTGCCCCTTCGATCCATATCTCAGTGTACACGTCCGCCAAGTCGGAGATTTCACCCGAGCACTTGGAGATGCACTCGGTTGCGGTCCCGCCCAAGCCAAAGATCTTGAAGGCCTCGACCCCAACGGCATGTACGAAGTTGCCCTGCAGAACGGACAGACCATGCCCACAATACGCGTGGATGGACCATATGGTGCACCCGCAGAAGACGTATTCGACAACGAAATCGCCGTGCTCATCGGCACCGGAATCGGCGTCACACCCTGGGCATCTATTCTCAAGAACATTTGGCACCTCCGCTCAAGTCCAAACCCTCCCCGCCGACTACGGCGTGTCGAGTTCATCTGGGTCTGCAAGGACACCTCATCATTTGAGTGGTTCCAAGCTCTACTATCTTCCCTAGAAGCACAATCCGACAGCGCGGCTGCTAGCGAGGGAAGCACTGAATTTTTGCGCATCCATACCTACCTCACGCAGCGTCTCGACCCTGACACCGCTGCGAATATCTACCTCAATTCCGTCGGCCAGGCCCTCGATCCTCTCACCGAGCTAAAGAGTCGGACAAATTTCGGTCGTCCGGACTTCAAGCGACTTTTCACGGCTATGCGGCATGGCTTGCTAGACCAGTCCTACATGACGGGTCTGCAGAGTGGTGGTACCACTGATATCGGTGTGTATTTCTGTGGTCCTAATACTGCTGCCATGCAGATTAGCGACGCGGCCAAATCTTCATCGACCAAAGACGTCCGGTTCAAATTCTGGAAGGAACACTTCTAGTCTCGTTCTGGCGCGCTTTTGCTTTTTTCATTTTTGTTCTATCATATACGAATGATACGAGTCACGAATCTCTCTTTTTGTTATTACTTTTTCATGATTCCATGGACTCTCTAGGTTATCCCTTCTATACTGGATTTTACATCTTTAAGGGAGGCATGAAGCCGTCTGCTCATGGCGAGCAGTGAGAGAAGCAATCACAACATACGTGGGTACCAGCAGGAATGCTGGGTTGTAGGAATATATGGCAATAGAATTGGCAACGTCATTTGAATAATACTGTCTGGTTTTCAATGTGTGGTAAATTACGATTAGAGGTGTTCTACCTAGATAGGGCCAGATTTTGTAAATCGAAGTTATTCATGTTGGGGATAATAATATCTTTATAAAGACATCCAAAGATACTACAGATATTAGAAGATTATATACACCTAACGTCATTAAGCATGCCCTTCATTCCGAGAACGGGTTTCCTCAGACACCGTAACATCTGTAGTGACCGCAATTCCTTCTTTGCAATCATCCAATGAGCCCCTTCCACTCCTGGTCGAATCAATAACAATATGCTGCTGGCTCTCACCCGTCGAATCTCGCCGCGACTTCCTCCAACCCAATGATGACAGCTCATACGGATGTCTATTATACGTATCATCACCCCGACTCTTCGAGGTAAACAGATTGCTTCCCTTCGGCGTCTGGCTGATATGGTTCGAGCTGCCCTTTGTCGAGAACCAGCGCGAAGTGCTGATAAGCGGCTTAATTCCAGGGGCGCAGATTGTTATCACGGAGACGAGGGCTTCGCGGGAGGCCCAGCCTAGGGCGGTTGACAGTTCGGAGATATCTTTGACGGAGTAATATGCACGGAGGAAGCCCGCGATCATGACGAAGATTCCGGATGAGAAGAGGAGGCAGAGGAGGAGCTTTTGGGAGATTGGGATACGGGCTGCTAGGATGAGGGGGATGGGAATTGAGAGGACCGCAATGTCAGTTCTGCTCAAGTAGTTAGTTTATAGGTTGTTATAGGGATTGGAAAAGCTTGTACTGACGTGATGCTGAGGGTCTCGATGACGATATAGTTCAACGGGCGTATAGTACAGTCATCTGTTGAGGGGTTAGTAATCACCAAATCAATCCAATATATTGATTTCATTCATCTCACCTCCAGCATATGGCTTGATTTGCCAACTCTTATGAACTGGGTGGCAAATGAAGACGTGGAAAAACAATGACGCGAGGAACGTGCAGACACAAAAGGCTCCGACGATCAAAGTCAAGCGGTGTTGCCAAAGACCCATTCTGTCGTTACATTAGCATAGAATCTAAATAGCTGTAAATAGCCAGTCACGCACGTCAACCTGTTGTAGAGGAACATCAAGACCCCTTTGAATAACCACACCATGAAAACATAAGAGATCCAGGCGACAAATGCGTCAATGGACCCGGTTCGTAGTGTTGCGACTTGGCTGTCTGGCACTTCCATCGCCGTTTTTTCGGTGAGACCAATATTCGATCCGTATACATCTGTTTTGAATTAATATGGAACAAAGTATGGACCTAGAGGAAACATACCCGTACAGAGGTAAAGGAAGACGGTGTGCATTGTCCAAAATATCTTTTCCACAAATCAGTACATTTACCTTATTCGACATGCACAAGGACTGACCGTGGCTAATCCTAGACATAAATCATCCCAGTAAAACTTGCCCTTTCCAACTTTCCACCGTGCGTAAAGGCGAATCGAAATGATGACCAACCCTACAGCCCATTCTGCGAACAACTCTGCTGTAACGTTGTAGGCCATGAGGACGGTAAATTGCTCTGTTCCCAATATTGCCTGGAGTGAATTCTATAGAAGCCAATCCACGGGATCACTTTTCTTTCACAAGGCTGAAGTTAAACTGTCACTAAATAGACATCGAACAAGCGACATAAAGCGAGAGCTTGGCAAAGTGACGCCCCTGAAAATCCTTTATACGCAAAAGAGTACTACTATCTGATTGACTAGCGAACTCAATATAACTATGCATCCATGGATCGAGAATAATCTTAATCCCAGCACCGAGGCTTTGGTGCAGTTGTGGAGATCCTCCCGTGTCTCCTGTCATGGTGGAGTTAATGCCAAGACACCAAGTATGCCATATCCTTACTAAGATGCACTTATACATCATGAATTAGATAGCAGAAATTAGAAATACACTATGTGCCTTCACAAATATATGTAGAGAAGGAATCTTCATCGTAGATTCAGCTGCAGAGGGAAGATAAAGGGCAACTACCAAGGAGTGGTGAGAGACTATATTGATTTGGGATCAGCAGAGAAATATGGGGTTGGCGGGGACGGAGGTCAATTTATGTAGTAATGAGGTGTCGGCGGTGCATATCCCAATTTATTCCTCCAATACAGGATCCTCCTGATCAAACCATTCCTTTCGAACTATTACGAAGTGTGGGTCAAGAAACATGGGGGCGAAAAAAATGCATTTCCATTCACAGTTCGTAGCAAATTATGTCCTCGATCAGAGGAAATATGTAATTGCCTCCACTGCCGTGCTTGTACCAGGCTTAAACGAGAGAGGCATTTCGGAATCAAAGCAGCCTACAGCAATGGGGCCGTCGGGACGCGCAGACTTCTGGTTTGACAGCGGTCAAGCGCTTTTCCATCGTCCCAGTTTTCCGTTTTTCAGCCCCCAGTGGAGACATGCGCACGATGCTCTTGGTGCGGATAGCGTGTAGATCTCGGGTTGTACTCCGTATGGAGTATATAGGTAGCGAATGATGATACAATGCCCCTCCTGATCCAACCGTTGTGGTTTCCCCCTCATTCTCCTTGGACACAACTTTGGATATAATGGACACCAAAAATCTTCAGAGGCTCTTGGCAGAAGCCAAGGCTTCGCTTGATTTATATGAATCGACTCAAACTGATACCTTTCGAGTTGAAGCACAGGAAAAAGCGGCACAGCTGGCGCGTGGGCTGGAACGACCCAAGGATGCCATCCTGAAGCTTTCCTTTTCTGTTAGCCATCGGCAGGCCCTGGGAATCATTGGAATGTCTTGCTAACCAATTGGAAAGCCCATCATTCTCATGGCCGTCAAGACGGCCCATGATATGAATGTATTCCCCGTGCTATCTCAGGCCACCGGCCCAGTCCCTCTGGCCCAGCTGGCTGCAGTAAAGCCGGCAGACCCTCTTCTAGTCGGTAAGCAGTCTTCGAAACGTTGAAGGCGTTCAACCTAACGTGATTTCAGAGCGCATTATGCGGGTTCTAGTCGCCAATGGTTTCGTCGAAGAGCCAGCTCCCAGCGAATACCTACCTACCGCACTATCCCGAGAAATGACCGAGCGCACATCAATTGGGGTCGTGGGATCACTGTAAGCTGCAAATTTATATAAAAAGAAGAACTAAATCTTAGTATACTAACCCAGCCAGCTTCCATGAGTTTCTACCCTCAGTCCAAAAAGTCCCCGAATATCTCCAATCTACCAACTATCGCAACCCAGATGATCCCATGTGGGCCCCTCTTCAATACACGCACGATCTGAAGACCGATGGATTTACATGGCTCTGCCAAGACCCCGAAGCGTTGACAAGGTTCAATAGCTTCATGGAAGGACAGCGGGCTGACCGTCCACACTGGGGTGACTGGTTCCCTGTTCGCGAACAGCTTCTCGATCACCCGGACATAACTGCCGAGACACCACTTTTGGTAGACCTTGGCGCTGGTCGTGGACATGACTTGATTGGATTTAGGAAGAGATTTCCCGATGCCCCGGGTAAATTGGTACTGGAGGATCTTTCGTCTGTGATCGATGAAGTACGTGGTGCGCAGGATCTAGAGGCGGCTTCTATTGACACTGTTGCGCACGATTTCTTTGCTGAGGTTCAACCGGTTCAAGGTAAGACTACCTTTTATGTGTGTATATGTATGCATTTTGCTGACAAATGTCTATGTGCAGGGGCACGCGCGTACTATTTCAAGAACGTGTTGCATGACTGGTCTGACGAGAAAGCGACCATCATCTTTAACCACCTAAAGCCGGCTATGAAGCGGGGTTTCTCAAAGGTTATCATGGAAGAGTATATTCTTCCTGATCAGAATGCTCGCTCGCTTCCTTGTATGACAGATATCGCGGTGATGGTTTTCTGCTCGGGATTGGAGAGAACTCGTCAACGCTGGAGTAACCTACTGACATCTGTTGGTTTGCGAGTCCTCAAATTCTGGGTACGTGAAGGTGACGGGTTGGGAATTATTGAAGCTGAATTGGCAGAGAGCTCTTAAATAGAGTGATCTCCGAGAGGGAGGCGAAAACAGCCTCCGGCTTGAATGATTAAACACTTAATATCCTTGATATGTGACTTCGTACCCCGATGGCCCCAGATATTAGAGATTGTATATTCAATTATCGAGATAAGAACACTTCTTCCATCGACGGTTTCGTGGTGGATATGGGCTGAGAGAAGGGAGTACAGTTGCCCACGGAGTTACCAGGCTTTTGTCCTGAAATACAAAGTCCCAAGGTGTCGAGCTGCTAGGCCAAGGGTGATTGTTTGAGTACCTGACCCTCGGGAGTCTCTTAAACAGTTAGTCTAGGCATAATTAATCTCTCGGTAGGGAAACTCACAGAGATTTCTTCGCCGGAATACATATGTTCGGTATATAGCCTTGTGGTATTACGGTATGGTGTCAACGGGCACACTCCGTCGTTTGGTGCAGCGAAAAAAAAAGCAATATAGAACTAATTTCGACGTTGCTAGTCGATAGGGTCGGAAAGCCAGATCTGTTGAACAATGAGAGGCCTAAGGTGCTTGAAAGGCGTTAGGGACGATGATTGTAGACGGTAAAAGGACAACTGAACTCACAAGGACAACGATGACTGCTAACACGGGAAGTAGAAAGACTTGAAGGAAATCTTGGATTCGATCCAGGTAGGAAGAGAGTAAGATCTGGAGGGAGAAGGTGAAGGTGAGAAGGTAGGAAGGTACGTGGGTTTTATAGGCAGCTCACACTCAGTTGTCCTAATTTAGCAAGGTACGATCCATGGATGTTTGCTCCATGTCCATTATATTTTTACTATATCTTCAATGTTGCTTCATCTTTTTCCTTTTCATTGTCTCTATTTCGATCTATCTCGATACCTTTATTACTGCCTGTACTACGTCTGTGGTGTTATAGCCAAAAGAGTGGAAATAACTAACAAATCATATATACCTTTAGTATTAACTGGTGAAAGAGGATACTAACAAAGTCCTCAGCTTCTAAGTGACCATAAACTAAGGGACGCTACGTGTCTGTTGATGCTGATTTACTTGAAATAGTATGATTAGCCTAACATTGGAAACATCATGGGACATAGTATCACCATCACCCTCTGGGTAGTTCTATGCGAGAAGCCGTGGCTTTGTGCTTCATATTCCACGAAGCTATATGTAATCCATGGATGTTTGCTCTGTCTATGTATGCATTGGGGGAATGCGTTACCAAAAGGACAACGCGCTGTACTCTTTACGGCCTAGTATTAAATGGTCCATATACCCGTGGACAACATGGCTCATTAGTACTGGTACTTGTGTCCATGGAGGGTAAATTGAAGTTTCGTAATAATTCCAAGGTCATGAGTTGAGATGAAAGCTGTACAAATTAGCGGACGCACAAACCTACCTAGGTACCTAGATAAATGTACGGGATTGTTAACGTTCAGTTTGCCATTACATTCTAACTATATATACAAAACACCTGGGCAGGATTCTCGATGTTGGGACAAGTCGTTGTCCTTTCGGTAAGGAGATGTCATAAAATTGAGAGAGAGAATGATAGGAACCTGGCGGACTGAGTAGATTAGCCGTCATGGTATGCAGTAGTCATTAGCAGCTTACCATTCTGCGATGAGAGCATCAATCTTCTCTACAACAGCGTCACGGTATAGAGCCATCCCAGGACAGCCCGGATGGAAGCTTTTGATCTGCCGGGTAGGGTACCAGCTGGTCACATTTCGGCTGGTTACGTCTCCATTTTCGAGGGCCTCGGTCGCCTTTTGATATGACCAAGGCATTGGTCCATTTGGTTCTGCCGCAATTGCCTTCGAAACGAGACACAAAAAGTTCTGGTATGGATCTGGATTCTCCCCCTGCATTTGTATTCAAGTATCTGCGTCTGGGAGCTTGATGCCGTTTTGTCGCAGAATTGCAATATAGCTGGAATCAGATGATGCAGAAGCACTGTCTTTCAGAGGAAAACTATTCCACGCGCTCAAGAAGAAATAAGTATTCGGAGCTCTAGCGTCAGGCTCATGGACTCCCTGTTCACACCAGCAATGTGAGTCGAATCTCGTTTGAACACCAACATAGTGAACAGCAGTCCTTCCTACCTCAGCATTAACATCTCTGACAGCGTCTTCGATCAAATTATCGAGCTGTGTGACGAGAAGATTGAGTTCTGAACGTAGAGACTTTGTGAGATGAACCATTCGGTTCAGTATCCAACCACCAGGAGGGTTATAGACACCCCAAAAGAAATGGAAGCTGCTATCGTCGCAATCAGAGGTATCTTGATTGAAAAAACCCGGGTAGCCAACGACAAATAGGTTAAAATCGGGCTGCTCGGCCTTCTCCAGAATACTAATGTAAAGCGTCTTGAGTTTTGAGCGCAGACCATTCTCTCCCTGATCTTTCATCAAATCTTGCTTTTTCCTTTCTTCTTTTCCACCTTCCAACTAGCCACAGAATCCACAATCCTTCGAAGCTCGCTACCACACGTGCTGGGCTTGGAACAGGCCTCTGCTGACGAAGGGCATTATTAGCCATCATCCGCCTCCTACTTGGATAGTGCTCGCCATACGCACGCACGAATATGGCACTCCCGGAACCACCTCTATGGTGTCGAGTGTATGTCTACTTGCTTCGAACCCCCAAGTAAAGCGCAGGCAAACTCAAACAGTGTATTGACTGTCCTCACCATCGGTTCCTTCGTACCTCAAGTATCGGGTATACGAAGAAAGCAGAGCATCCATGGAATCTCTCCACTCTCCGTCTTGTGGAATCTAATCAGCGCTACGGAGCAGTTCACTATTCTTTTTTTTTTGCACTTGTCAATGAATACGACCCTGATGCTCCAACCATCTTCGTGCACTTTCTCATCACCACAGGCGACTGGTTCAATCTGCGCCATTGTGCCGTGGTCACGATCCTTTTCCTAGTATCGTGAGACTGTGTCATCAATTCTTATAGAAAGTGCTATACATAGTCTAACACCAGCTTAGATTCGCCCAAGTTCTGTTCTACAGCGACCGCACTGCCTCACTATGCGTCTGCTACTCTGCTTTTCCTCCTCGTTTCAATCATCCCTCTTTTCATCGACGCTGTCTCGCACACGGATTACGAAGATTGGAGAGTGTTGTCAGTGATTTACCTTGCCCTGCATGGAATGCTTCTTTGGCCGATCATCTCATTCCTAGGCTGCTTAAGCATCTACTGTCAAGCCCGAGAGATCCTTGCAGTGTCTTTCCCAAATTCGCTTAGTCTACAAGGGCTGGCTGTGCAGGCAGTTATATTCACGCTCGTCTCAGTGGTATGGATATGGTGTCTTCCGTTTCCGTATGAGCATGCGAAGGCACATATTAATTGGAATACTTTTACTGTCTGATATGGGAGTATCGGTTGGATAATTCTTGACAGCTTTATCTTCGCTTTCGGCCAGACAATACTACTTGTGTTAGGCTTGCGCCGCGCATCGTTAGATAAGCTCACTTGCAGCGAGGAGGCGAGACGGAGCCGCTCTTAGGATAGATAAGGCGGACTGCAGAGAATCCAAATGGTGCTTTTACACTAAACTTTCTCAACACATGTAGTAATTTGATTTTCAATATTCTCTAGCAAGAAAGGCCCTTACTCAGTCAATGTGAACTCGAGCCAGTTACTAGCCGGCACCACAACCACAGGTCTGCCTCCATTATCTTTTAGATCAAGAACCTTGATCTCCCCGGCCAATACAAAAGTGTTTTCATGGTCATTAAAATTACCCCAATCCTAGCAGTCAAGTGTGGCTCCCTTGAACCTGTACTGGAATCGATCGAAGGGCGCGAAATTCTTCGGAAAGTCAGTCAGCTCTTGTGTGAATGAGCAAGGCTCACCAGGCACCAAGGAGTGGAATTTATTCTCGTCGTTCTTGCCAACATTTATCGGATAAGGACCAGAGCTGTAAGCATGGTGTAGGAGCAAGCCATTCACTTCATGCGGACGCCATTCATCATTCTCTTTAACATAGAGCCTGAATCCATTGTAGTGACGATTGAGAGCTCTGAACATGGACCTATGAAATGTGATCGGTTTCCAGTCATTCATTGAGCCAGGAGCTGCGTCATATGAGATTGTTACTGTGACGGAATAGTGAAGTCTCGCTGGGAAGGAGCGATCTATCACCGATAGCATTTTAGGACCAGCGATGTAAACATTCAGGACTGGGGCGTTATTCATCCGATTATATGGCGAAATTGGTGGTGGCGAGCACGGAGACCATTCTCCTATGTCGCCTTCTAGGTCGCTTTCATCGTGAATAGCTTCAAATGACTGGTGTGGCCCATTAAGAAGTACTATCGCGGGGGACTTTGGGGCGAGTTGGCGATGAACTACACTCCGCTGATGTTTCCCAGTCCCACAAGGGAATTTCTACCCCTCCCCATAAAATCTCGTAGGAGTTCCCTATACGGAGGGCGTCAAAATAGACGGATGGCAGATCCGCGGACCGGCGGACGCTGTCGGCGGGGCCGAGCTGCTTGAAGCAAGGGTCTTCTGTGGACACTTCCTGGGGTTGGAGGGATTTTGCCAGAAACTGGTGGGGATTGACCTGGAGGGACTGCCAGTCGTCTGTTTCACTTCCACGACAAAGCAGTATTATACCGACTGGCCAAGCCCATCTTTGACAGGATCCCAGTGAATGAACATAGTCATGTTTCATTTTCCTCCCGTGTGGTTGTAAACACGATGCGGTAAGATGTATCATAAACGTGTGACTGTGGTTCTGCTTCAAAGGAGAGCGCGAGGCGAGGTGTATCTGGTCTGTTTGGTTTAGCATTCCTGCTGGTTGGCTTCTTACTGGATCACTTACGGTCTATCTGCAGCAGAGTATTTCATGCAAGACAAGATCTTCTCCTCCAATTGTGCAGGAGACATGTCGAGTATTTGCGGACGAGGAAGAACAGAAAGAGCGGAATCGGGTTTCAAAATGCTGAGGTCGTTGGGCGCAGAGACTCCTTGAAGTCAACTTAGTACTTGAAAGAAGGCTAGAGAAAAGGAAGAGAAAAGTATCAGCTGCTGGGGATAGCTCTTTAAAGAGAGTGAAAGAAGTAGGATGTTGATACCAAGGTCACGCTGGTGCTCCGTCCGCTTTTGACCATATTCCCCAGGCTTCAGATCCGAGGGTCATTATATCTTCACCATTTCCTCACAGCCCCTTCATATTTTCTTTCCCTTTTATTATGCATATTGCTTCTGTGGTGTTATAGGCAGAAGAGTAGAAATAAGAGACAAATTCATATAAAAGAGGATACGAACCTAACGAAAACATAAGCCTCTAGGAGAGCGAAACTGAGGAATGCTATGTGGTGGCTTTTCATGCTGATTTATTTGAAAATATGACTAGCCTAACCTTGCATCATGGGACATAGTATCACCCTTGGGATAGTTTTATGTGAGAGGCGGTGGTTTTGTGATTCACATTCAACGCCGCTATATATATGCACCTCCAAGCACGCCATATCAAGCCCAAGTGAGCGAGGCTTATAAATCTGCTTGGAAATACCACAACAGCCGTGAATCAGAGTGATAAGCGGGGTATATAACAACATCTATTCTCATTGCAAACTATTTGTACAAATCCAACTTTGCAAGGTTAAGTGTCCAACCCGAAGGATACCCAAACCAATTTCAAGATGACCGACTCGCAGCCCAACCGCCAGCTGCATCTTACGGCCTTCATGCGGCCAGTCTCACTGCACACAGGTGCATGGCGTTATCCGGGCTCGTACCCGGATGCCAACTTCAACTTCAAACACATCGCCCAGTTCGCCCAAAAGCTAGAGGCCGCCAAGTTCGATGCCTTCTTCATGGCAGATCACCTGGCCGTACTGAATATGCCTGTCGAAGCTCTCAAGCGCAGTCATACTGTTACTTCATTTGAGCCTTTCACTCTTCTCTCCGCCCTTTCTTCCGTGACAGAGAAGATTGGTCTTGCTGCTACTGCTAGTACGACCTATGACGCACCGTATCATGTTGCCCGGCGATTCGCGAGCCTAGATCACCTGAGTGGCGGGCGAGCAGCGTGGAATATTGTAACTACCGGGAACCCAGAGTCGAGCCATAACTTTGGCTTCGATGAGCACTTGGCCCATGGTGATCGATATAAGCGTGCCCGAGAATTCTATGATGTCGTCACTGGACTGTGGGATAGTTTTGCCGATGATGCTTTTACTCGCAATGTTGAGACGGGAGAATACTTCGATCCTGCAAGAATGCACGTGCTCAACCATTCCGGCGACGAGATGAAGGTTCGAGGGCCGTTGAATATTGCCAGACCACCGCAGGGATGGCCGGTTATTGTACAAGCAGGGCAAAGCGAGCCGGGACGACAGCTCGCAGCTGAGACTGCTGAGATTGTGTTTTGCAGTCCGAAGGATATTGATGGCGCGAAGGCTCTGTATGCAGATATCAAGGGGCGAGTGGAGAGGGCGGGACGGAAGAGGGATCAGTTGAAGATTTTACCTGCGGCAATGATCATCGTTGGAGATACCAAGCAAGACGCGCAAGAGAGGAGACTCAAGTTGGATAGTCTGGTGCACTACGACAGTGCCATCGCTTCTTTGTCAATCTCACTTGGGGTGGATGTCAGTGACCTTGATCCGGATAGTTTGTTGCCGGACGATCTACCCGAGACAAACGCCAGCAAGACTAGCAGGGAGTCTGTTGAAAAGCTGGCCAAGAAAGAGGGACTGACCATCCGTCAACTTGCGCAACGATATGGTGGATACTCCGGACTGACATTCCTCGGTTCGCCAACTGATATCGCCGAGGAGATGGAGACGTGGCTGCGAGAAGAGGCCTCCGATGGTTTCACGTGCACGTTTCCGTTCTTGCCACAGGGTCTGGAAGAGGTGACGGATAGATTGATTCCTGAACTCCAGCGGAGAGGCCTTTTCCGCAGTGAGTATGCGGGCTCGACACTACGCGAACATTTTGGCCTGCCGAGACCCGAGAATCGTTTCTTTAGTGAGGACTCCAATTATGTCTAACCAAGATAGATTGTATTAGAGCGGTGGCGATATCTACTCTCGCTTTCGATTGAGATGTTGGCTCCCGTTGTAACAGTAGTTTGGGCCCATTAACTGCCATATCGCTGAATGAAGTTCAATCGAGAAGTGCAAATACCATGGTTCAATTCAGTAGTTGTAGTTCTATAAAAAACGGATTGTCCCAACAAATCGTATGGCCTTTTGGCAGCATCCCCCAATCCTCGTGTATTCTGGTCCATAACCATTTCAACTGTGTCAGGGCGTGTTCTTCTCTTTCTGTTGTCAGCCAAATATGCGAAAAGCATGTGAGCTCAGGACGGCATGTAACAAACCGATAGTCAGCTTTGGGCGCCTTGATTGTTGAAGTAAGATGGTTAAATGTGGTTAAAGCTTTATTTTATATAAACATGCCTACATTCAAACGAGAGGCTTGGATTTCGACACGGTCGACGAGATTGCGGGAAACCTGAATATCCGCATCCGTAGGCCCCGGAGGAGTTTACAGTGTGGAAAATGTTGGGAAGCTGGGATGGGAAGCTGGGACCGAAGTCCCGCCTGGCAACCCGTCCTGCCCAGACGATGTCTCTGGCTTTTGTAGCTTTGATAGTCTCCGTCCGGATAGCTTCTACAGTGTCACTAGTTTCCCTACACTGCAATGCTGGCAGAACCCTGTCGGATCTCGAGCGGGACTCTTACTTTTACTGCACTACAACTACAACTACAGAATTGAAACAGGGAATTTCCACTTCTCAAGTGAATTTGACGTTACTCTCACATCCAGGTGAAGGGGATCTGAGAAGCACCCCCTTAGCCTGTTCATCATCTTGTATTCCTCACTGTTCTCCCCCCCCCCACCCCCCAGAATCAGATCCCCTCTGGGCCTACTCGGCGCAGGAACCCTCCATATGGTAGTGGACCCGCAGTCCACGGCGCAGCATCTCCGAGTACAGAGCTCGGAGCTCTGCAGGGTCGAACCCCGAAGGGTTGACCTCCCCCTTCCGGTTGAGGCGACAGGGGGGCAGCCGATTGGTCAAATCCGCCCGCAGGTGCTCAAAGGCGAGCAGGTACAGCTCCTTCGACCAGGGGCAGGAGCGCAGGGCCCGGAAGTAGATCGCGCGTGCGCGGCCGACATTGTACTCTGCGTACAGTTCGTAGAGGATATACAGCCTCCAGATGGTGAGGCTGGTCTGCGCGGAGGTCGAGCTTGCCAGCTCGAAGGGACTCTTCCGTGTTGGAGTCCGCCCGACCGGGAGGATGCCACCATCACCGATCGCTCGCTCGAAGGCTGCCCGGATTGAATGCGGGGTCGAGCCAAGCATGAGAGGGCGACCCATCTCAGCGTAGATGCTGAAAAGGTGAGTTGTGACGGGTACACGGTAGATCGGGGCAGGCCCTTGTAGATCCTTAGCGGCCCTGTGCTTCGCCCCGATGGTGACGTCGAAGATATCGCGGGTACGGTCGCTCATATGTAGCCGAGACTCGTTCCATTTGAATAGCGACAAGAACATAGTGTTGTGAGGCCACCATTCTAGGCTATCCAGGAGCAGCGCACGAACATCGGCAGGTCTGAATTGGCCACTCTGTCTCTCCACATAGTGGTACAGGATCCGGGCCCGGGCTTGGTGCAGCAATTCTCCGCCCAAAACCCTGAAATCATCATCAGTCTTGCGCAGGACTCTAAGGGAAGTGATGGCGTCATTGTAGACATCCAGGACTTCTTCAAGTTGCTCGCCCTTGAGATAGAGGAGGATGGCATAGCAGTCAGCGTAAGCTGCATATGCTTGCATTTTCTTGAACTTCAAGGCAGTCTTCTGATCGGCAAACAAGCACTGTCGGTAGTTAGCACGGCGTTCACTGAGATCATCGGATGAGAACTTGCCTTCTTAACCCTGAGAAAATTGGTTTCATTAATATTGAGTTCCTCGGCGGTGTCGTATGACAACAAGTGAACTCGATGGTAAGGCATAGCCTGCAACAGGTATAATGCCCGATTCTTTCGCCCAGCGTGAAGCATTTCCCAAATCCACGAGTTCCACAGGAGTGCAGAGTCAGTGAGCTCGCCCGCATCAAAATTCTGGCTCATAGACAAAGCAGTAGACCACACATTGTGAGCAACGTCAATATCGCCAGTTCGCCAATACATGAGCGCGACGGCATTGTATAGTCGCAGGTTCGATGATCGCTCCTTTAAGAGTCGCCTTCCATATTTCTTGCCCAGAGCGTTGTCACACGCGAAAGTTACTGCAATAGCGTATTCAGCCAATTGGCTGTCTCTGAAAACATCGACAAGGGAATGGAGAGTTAAGAGCACAAAGTCAGAATCGATCACACAGGAGGAATGAGAGGTGGTTGCAGCCCACTTCGTCATGGCGGAAAACCACAGATTTGGGTCGGCAAAAAGAGTATCAGTGGTGTGAACGAAGGTATGGTGAGGGAATGCAAATGGTTCAAGGGTCGTGGTTGCGGCATATTTCTGGAAAGTGATCCAGTCCGCGATTGTGTTTCGAGGATCATCCATGTATTCGTTTCGCAGGAAACTATCGCCAGTCCACAGCCGGCTGGTGTGCATATTCGCAGGCAACGTCAAGTGAGGCAAATGGCAGAAATACAAGAAGCCATCAACAAGGGAGCCAAGGCTTTCTTTCAAGTCCCAGAAATATGGCAGTATCTGCGTACAATCTTCAAGGAGGACCACTCGGAAAGCATCTTTCTCTTTGGAATCATCAAAAGCGTGTGACGGCATGCGATTTTTGAACATCCGCTCCCTTTCTGCACGCGTCCAGGTTGGGAACAAGTCTCGGTCATCCGCCTCAGAAGTGTAAACATGCTCTGTGGCAGGAGCACGGGAGGTTTGTCCACTGTTCCAGGGTTGCCAACCGGGCTCCCCGATCCGGATGCGTCCAGGTGTCCAGAACCTCTTGAATTCCACTAGGGCCTCTTCTTTCTTCCCAATCAGATTGGCTGGGCGGAAGCATGAAAATTCGAGCACCGCTTGCCATAGACCGACAGCTAGCTCCACGTGCCCAGATTCTCGAAGAAACAGGGTCAAACGGAGCAGCAAGTATGATCTGATGAGAGTTTTCTGCGGTTCAAACCCGACACCTGAATGGATCTTCAAGCAGTAGGCATAAGTCTTCAAGCAGTCATCAAAGTTGAAATCCCGACTATCAGTCTGACAGTAGTCAAGATACTGAATCCATACAGTTATGAACTCAGAGTTGTGGCGGAGGACTCCATCCCATTCCGATGCGAGCGTTGCATCGTCCCAGATTTTCGCACCCTCTTCCATTCGGCACAGCACAAGGTGATCGCGTTCAGGATTTTGTGCGTTAGCCTTGATCGCTCTTTCATACACGTACAGCTTGGCTCTTGCCACAACTTGTACATCATCGTGATAGGAGCTTTGATCACCAGATCTCGTGCCAGTGATAGCAAGTCCCTGATGCTCAGCAAGACGGATCCATGCCTTGATATCAGTAGGTCGTTGCGCCACTGCGCTGTTCAACTTGGCATTGCGATTCAAGATCTCAGCTTCCATAGCAACTCGAGTGAAGGTGCTTGCATCAAAGGGCTCAGTGACTTGCTCTTCGGGCTTAGCCGGGACCTTGATGGAGCGATAAGACGGTGCTTCATCGTCCAAGTCGGCAGTAGCCGCAACGCCGGATTGAGATGGAACTGTTGTTGAAATAAAATTTTGTGAATGTTGGGTCTCAGCAGCAGGATTAGCATTGAGATCAGACCGGAGGCGAATGGGAAGATTGATGGACAAAGCAGATAGGGTTTCGGCGGAGAGAGGTTTGGTTGCAGAGGTTGCAGAGGAGCCTGAGTCGGGGCGAAGAAGCAGAAGGGGACCTTGGTCATAACGCGTTTCGTAATCAATGCGCTGTCCGGGGAGCCCAAGCACAAAGCCATTGCCACCGCGATGGTACGCAGGGACCTCGTAGCGATCCACGCCGTAGCGTGTATTGTCGCGATAGCCGTGGCTGTCAAAGATAAATCTTTTGTTTGCCTCATCGTTTGCAGCGTTTACATCGTCAATTCTTTCCCCACTCAGGCGCTTCTCCCCTTCTTCAGCTAGCACCTTTGCACGACCGCCATCTGAACGTCTTCCATGGCGACGGGAGGGCGGAGACTCTCTCCGGTCTGCGCGCCGATGGTGGCCCGAGCGACGACTCCGGTGACGTTCATGTTCTGAGCCAGTAGCGGTGGCCGGAGGAGAGGGAGGGGGAGGTCGGAAGCTAGAGAATTGCGGGACACCCTTTATACCTAGTCAGTCTGTGTTCCCTGTTTCATTCACTAAGGTGTAAGTGAAGTAACTAACCTGACACCCAGGTGAGTCCATCGTGCTGACTCGATATTCCTTATCGAGTATTCCTTATCGAGTCGCGCCGCGGTCTGATAACCCGGAAGAACAATCCTCCGATAGGCGGTCGGGCTGGCCGGCAAAAAAAAAAGTCAACCGTTTGCTCACGGTCAAACGACGCTTAAAACTTACCTCAAATAATTTGAACCGCCCGCCCTCGGCTCGCGAAGAAAGGAAGACTACCGTCAAGAGTCTTAGGGATATGGGCCACTGTGCAATTGTGTGAGCATCAATACGGAATAACAAGAAAAGTCCGCGGAACAGCCCGCCAAAAGAGACTTCATAATGGCTTCGTCTCTCGCCGCGCAGCTGTCGCAAATTGCGGCCAAGTCGACACACGAGCTTGACCTTAAGGCGCAAAGGGTTTCACACTCACAGTCACTTATTTTTGACCCAAAGGTCGCCGGCACTCAGGACTTTGATGCGATCTATGATATTTGTTACGACGGGTTCCGGGAGTTATGCTCGTTGGACCCCCGGTTTGCAGAGTTTGATCGCACGATCTTCAGTGAGCAAAGCAAAGCGGAGGACCGCAGTCAGATGAACGTACTTCAGAATAAGGAGCTGGATACTGCAGTTGAAGCTTTCCTGGCTCTGGTTGGCGGCAGGCTACAGTTGAGTCCTGCGGTCAAGGCTGTGGACTGGCTTGTGAGAAGATTCAGGTGAGTGAAACTCGCGAGGGGAGGTGCAGATCGTGAGACGTGGTGGCTAACTTATATGGCAGGATCCACGAGTTCAACACGACAGCAGTATTATTGACGTTCTTGCCGTATCACACAACACCACTCTTTTTGAACCTTCTATCTATTCTTCCGGCAACCCTTACGCCCACATTTAAAGTCCTCACTCCATACAAGAACGGTCTCATTAATCCGCCAAGGCACCCGCTTGTTCACAGCGCGGCGACGAACAAGGCTTTCTTTTCCGAATTAAACGAATACGTACTGAAGGTTTGTAGGCAGCAGGCCCAAAGCCATGCACTACTTGCATTTTGGGCCGGAATTGTTACAGAGGCTGCCGCAACAATGTTGGATAGTGCTCGGTCAGGCAGAAGAGAGGTCGAGAAGCAAAAGCACGAAGATATCATGTTGCGGATTTTGCCGGTTCTCAGTAACGCTTTCGAAATGAAAAAGGTCTCGGAATTGATCGTTGGCTGCTATATGATCTGCGTTGTACTGGCACAGAAGGCCTTCCTTTCGAACGAAGTTATCGATGGTCTAATGGAGAGTGTTGTGTGTTCTTGGACAGAAGATACAAAGATATCTGGTCTTATTTGTCTTGCAGTCCTTGCACAGCAGAAGCCTGGTGTTACAATCCCGAAAAAGGTCTTCAAGGGTATCGTGCGCCTCGAAAATCCTATCGCCCAACTTTCCGAAATCGCACCGCAATATCAGACATCTAATCTGTTGCTTGGGATCATTGCCGGCTGCTTGGCTGATCTTGACAAGCAAGAAGACGCTCACCTTGCAATTATGGCCTCAGTTTTTGAGCGCAAGATGCTTGGCGAGAAAGATATTGCCAAGGCTATGGGCCTGGTTCTCGAAGCAGCTTCTAATGCAGATGAGACCCGCGGGATGTCTTTGGATGCCCAGACCCAGCTCGCTGAGCTGGTTCAAGGATTCAACCGGTCCGAAACCCTCCAACCCATTTTCCAGAAGACTTTGACTGGATCTTCGTTCAACATCTCGGCGCTGGAGCACAACCTTCAAACCATTGTCGAGGCCCCCGTTGTGGCACAGGCCTTCGAAGATGTGGATATGATCGATGCGGACGATCAGCCCCAGGTGGACGCCTTTACTCCAGCTCTAGAGACTTTGGTCAAAGAGCCCTTGTTCCCACACTCATTCCTCTCCAAACAGTCTATCATCGAATTTGATAATCTGGTACGCGTTTTCGCCTTGGCGGTGGACTCTGAGAACAATCTCGAGCTTTTCACCAATTTGCCAATCTTAGGCAAGTCCCAGGCTACCAAGGCCCCTCAATATCTGTCTTTCTTTGTCAGAGTTCTTGTTGGCCACTACCCCATCGGAACAAAGATTGCGGCTTTGAACGTCATATCATCTGTTCTTTCGTCGGCACCCGCAGACTTTGATCCTCAGGCACTACTACCATTCCTGTTTCTGGCCCTCTCTGATCCATCCGAACGGATTCGCCGTGAGACTGCTGGCGTCTTAGCTATTACCGGATCTTTGTACAAAAAGAACACCAACTTCGGTGCCAGCTCGAAGCCATGGGCTCACGACGCGATCTACGGCAAGGGCAAGCAATCCACAGGTGTTGCATGGCTCACCACTAAGGATACGCAAAAGGTCATGGAGCGGGCATTGCTTCCAGGGTTGGAGGAGTCTATCCTCGACTCTAGCCATGTTCGTAGAACGATGGAAGCTACTCTACGGGGCAACGTTCTGTCTGAAGCTTCGGGTGCCACCGAACTCAAGAAGTCTCTCCGTCTTAGTCTCTTTGCGTTCATCTGCTCTCATATTGTCAGGATGCCAGTTTTCGCACCCAAGACTAGCTTGCTTAAGTTGATCCAGAGCGTGGAGAAGGTCTCTCCTGCAACCCTGACCAGTGAACTTCTCCCGGTACTCGAGGATTGGCGTCGCTTGAACGAGAAAGAAGTCGAGGAAATTTGTGGCAAAGAGCGCATTGTGGCAGCTGAGACAGAGAACCTGATTGCTGCTATTGTCACATCCAAAGACAAGAACGCCGTCGATGTCCTCCTCTCCAATGTCAGCTCTGGTGACAACTTGCGCCCGTCCTTTGTTGCGGCTTGCTTTGGCCAAATCAAGCACATCTGGGCTAAGATCCCCGAAGACCGTCAGTTGGCCGCATCCGAGAAGTTGCTCGGCATCTCCCTTTCGGGTTCGGCCAATACCGCTTCTTTGGCAAGCAACTGTCGAGACACTCTTCGCACTGTCGATCTCCCCGGTGCTGTTCTTCAGCAATTTGTCCAAAAGATTCCCGTTTCTATTACCGATGTTGAGTCTGTGGGCCCTGCACCAAAGCGGAGACGTACTAGCCAGAACAACATGGTTGCGATGACTGTCAAGGACGAGGCAGAGCTTAGCAAGTTGATGGACAAGATGACTTTCATCTTGGAGATTGTGGATAGCTCCTCACCAGAATCTCACCCCGAGCTTGTAGATGGATTGTTCCAGACTCTCGCTGCTCTTCATCACTTCAAGTCTCAGATCCAGTCTGGCATGAGCTATCTCCTGAGCCTGACTTTGGGGAGTCTCTTGGCTATTGTCAACACATCCAAAGGATCTGCTAAGCCGAAATTCGATACATCTGTCATCAGAGCCGACTTGGTGGTGGACTGTGTGCGAACGACTGACAGCCCGCAGGTTCAGAACGGGGCTATTCTTCTCGTGGGAAGTCTGTCTGTCATTGCACCGGAATTGGTTCTTCACAGCGTCATGCCGATCTTCACGTTCATGGGCACCAGCGTTCTGCGTAAGGACGATGACTACTCTGTTTCGGTCATTGACCAAACTATCGACCAGGTTGTCCCTGCCCTCATCCAATCCCTGCGTAACCAGAAGAGAGATGTTGTCTCCGGAACTTCCGAGTTGCTGCTCAGTTTCACCGCAGCCTTCGAGCACATCCCCTCGCATCGCCGTCTGAGACTGTTCCATGCCTTGATCAGCAAGCTTGGAACGCAAGAGTTCTTGTTCGCTGTCCTGGCAATGCTCGCTAACCGATACTCCACGGACAAGGATGTCCTTACTCTGATGACTGGTTTGGTTTCGGATACTACGCCGGTCGTGGAGCTTACCACCTACAGCAAGTACTTGAACTTGGTCAGCGATTCTCTCAAGCCCAAGCCAGGTATCTCGCAGGTCCTTCTTGGAATTGGTAGTGACGATGGACGCGACGCCCAGAGCATCTGCGTCGATCTCCTGCGTGATCTTGCTCACTTGTTCAAGCACTCTTCTCTCAAGTCGAAGCTTGAGACGGCATTTGAGTCTGACGGCCAGGTTGCTGACCAGTCCCGCGCTTGCTTCTCTCGAGTTCTGACGCAGGTTCTGAGCATCGGCGAGGCTGTACAGAGTATGAAGCCCGTTAACCAGGCTTGTGGTGAGGTCCTCGGCTCTCTGTTCAGCACTCTGTCTCTGATCGACTTCCTGGATACCATTGAGGTTCTTCTCCAGGGTCCTAATGACGAACTCCGACGCAAGGTCCTTCGTTTGCTCGAAACCCGCCTCCGCCAGAACCCCGAGCGCGACAACCTGTCACAAATCCGTGTTCTCGATTTCCTGCCCACCCTGGTTGGCATTGTCGAGTCGTCCCCGGATACGCTGCTCAAGCATGCTGCTGTTTCGTGCATTGACCGCATCACTGACAAGTACGGCCGTAAGGACCCGTCCAAGGTCATTGCTGCGGCCAGAGTGGTCGCCAGTGAATCTTGCCTCGGCCAATCCGATGACCGCATCCGTTACATGGGTATCCTATGCCTAGCCTCTATGGCCGAGGTGCTGGGTCAAGCCATGATTCCTGCCCTTCCAGACACACTCAAGCGTTCATTGGAATTGCTGGAGTTGAGTCTGGTTTCAGGCAAGGAGAACTCGCGACTCCACGACGCCGTCTTCACCCTCTTCTCTGCCCTCTTCGTTCACCTGCCATTCATGATCTCAGCTGGTCATCTGGACAAGATGCTCCTCCTGTCCTTCAAGTCTGCTAATGCGGACATCGAGGAGAGCTGTGATGAAAGCCGCCAGGAGTCCCTGCGGTTGATGGCCCGCAAAGTGGATGTGGGCGCAACTCTCGGCGCCGTCGATCGCAATTGGCAACATGCCATCAAGGCTGGTCCAATTGCTGTCAACGAGTTCTTGGAAGTTGTCACAATTGCTGTTGACAAGCACCCCAAGTCGACCATTGCTAAGAACATTGGCGTCCTTACCAAGATTCTCTTCAAGGCGTTCGATCTGCGCCGTGAACAGACTGCTCTTGGCGACAAGGCTATCTTCGAATCGACTGCTATTGATGAGGCCGAAGTGGCGCTCAACGACGTTACGATCAAGATGATCTACAAGCTGAACGACAGCACGTTCCGGCCCATCTTCCTTAAGTTTGTCGAGTGGGCCACTACTGGCGCCCCCAAGGACGAGCAGGCTCAGATTTCGCGCCTCACGACTTTCTACAAGTTCCTCGAGGTCTTCTTTGGTACTCTCCAGGTATGTTTCTTCACAGTTCTTTATGCATTGATCATTATCACTAATATCTTCAGTCAATTGTCACCGGGTACTCCAGCTATGTGTTGGAGAACGTTGTCAGCGTCCTGAACACGTCGGGTCCCTCCAAGGCCCAGAAGTCCCTGTGGCTGGCTGCCCTTCGTATGCTCCGCAAGTCCTTCGAGCATGACCAGGATGGTATGTTTCCTCTCTGCGCCCAGTATAGCTGAATTGCAGCCACTAACCTCTGCTGCAGAATTCTGGCAAAGCCCCTCCCACCTCGCCAGCATTTCCGGTCCCCTGATCGCCCAGCTGGGCCACGCAACCAGCACGACCACCTCGAACATGGTCATTGCCGACGTCATGCCCACGATCACGGAGCTGGCCATCGCCGCCGATTCTACGGATAACCACAAGGAGCTGAACTCCGCCCTGATGAAATACCTCCGCCCCTCCTCTGCGCCGAATGCCCGCTCCGCCGGTGGTGACAGCCCCCACACCCGTCTCGCAGCCCTCAAGACCGAGCAGGCCCTTACGGAGCAGCTTGGTGAGGAGTGGCTCGCACTTCTGCCGGAGATGCTGCCTTACATCAGTGAGCTCATGGAAGATGAGGATGAGAGTGTTGAGAGAGAAGTCCGCAAATGGGTTAAGCAGATCGAGAAGGTGCTTGGTGAGCGTCTCGATGACATGTTGACTTAGAGCTTTGGTTTATGATTGTGTACAAAATTTGCATTTTCTTGGCGTCCATAGAACAGGTCCTATGCGGGCCTTGCAGGTAGTCTACGGATAATCTATCTAAAAATTGATTGTTCTAATTATTCGCTGAGTGTCTTTGCACTTTAAAATCCTGAATGATGCAAGTATAACATTCAGCTACCCGGAATGACAGCCTCTGAAGCATCCACACCAGCATTCCACCTGTACTTAGAAGCAGGGTGGTCTGCACGTGGTCCGGACTGGCCGGGCTGCGCATATAGGTTCTCACGGTAGGTTCCCTTGGGCACAGCATAGTCATCCCAGAACATGCCTCGCTTGCGGAGCTCGGGAATAAGGAGATCAATGATATCCTTGAAGGAGCCCGGCTTGATTGCGTATGCCTGTGCAAACCATGTTACCAAATGTCTCGAGATACAACAGACTGTTTCAAGAAATACAACTTACCAGGTTAAACCCGTCCACATCTGCTTCTTGTACCCACCGCTCCATGCTATCGGCAACTTGAGCAGCTGTACCGACAGGAGTGGCACCCAGCCCTCCCACGGTGATGTGTTTACCGACAGTGGCCTTTGTCCACTTAGCGACTTCGGGTGTCGCCTTGGACCAGCCCTCAACAGCAGAGCTATACAGAAATGCGAATCAGTCTTTGTCAAGCTGAAAAAAAGGGAAACATTCTCACATACCGGATAGCATTACTCTCAACATGTCGCAGCTCCTCATCGTCTCCATACTTATCCAAATCAATCCCCGTCCACCCACCGAACAGCGCAAGCGCTCCATCAATGGACCCCAGACTGCGGAAATACTTGAACTTCTCCACAGCCTGCTCCTCGGTCTTGCCGAGGATTGGGCAAAGGAGTGCGAGGAACTTAATACTCTGCGGATCACGCCCGTACTCGCTCTGTGCAAGCTCCCGAATCTCCTTCACGTTCTTCGCTACCACAGCCGGGCTATGGCCCGCCACGAAGATAGCCTCCGCATGTTGCGCGGCGAACGTTTTGCCTGCTTTCGATGTGCCGGCTTGGAGGATGACCGGTGTGCGTTGTGGGCTGGGTTGGCAGAGATGAGGCCCGGGGACGTTGAAGTATTTGCCGACGTGGTTGATTTGACGCACGCCTGCTGGGTCGGTGTAGATGCCGCGCTCCTGGTCGAGGGTTACGGCGTCTTGGCGCCAGGAGGACTCCCACAGCTTGTAGGCTACTTTGATGTACTCTTCGGCGAGGAGGTAGCGGTCGTCGTGCTAGCCTTTTGTTAGTGGGCTATAGACATATAGGTGTGGAAGATGAGGTCTTACATGTAGCTGCTCGGCTTGGCCCATATTGCGGGCGGCGGAATCGAGGTATCCTGTTACCACCTGAGGATATTTTCAGTATATATTTCTTCTATAGTCCTGTCCTTTGAGGTGAGCGTGCCACTCACGTTCCAACCCAGACTTATCAGATGACCTTAATCAGCGATCTCGGGTTCTCCTAACAGTTACTAGATCCACGTACCGTCCTTTGGTAAGATGATCCACCGTAGATAATCGTCTCGCAAGATGATACGGCTGCTCGTAGCTTGTTGTGACCGTCACTCCAAATCCAATATTCTTGGTAGCCGCCGCCATTGCGGGGACAACAGCCAATGGCTCGTTCACTGGCCACTGAGCACCGGAGAGGACTGCGGGATCGAGGTTTCTGGGTCCTTTATAGACATCGTATCCTCCTAGAGCAAGATTTCTTGTCAAACTTCTTCGCTGGAATGAAACCACACTAGATCTACTTACCGAGGACATCTGCGATAAAAATGCCATGGAACTTGGCTGACTCGAGTAATTGTGCCAGCTCGACCCAGTGGTCGACATCATTGAATCGATGCGACTCATCTTCGGGGTGGCGCCATAGTCCTGGTGATTGATGGCCGCTGCCTGTACTGATCGTTAGAAATTGGGAATTTCATATGTGGAATGGGCTTCGACATACACATTTCCACAAAGGCATTGAGGATGAGGGACTTGCGAGGCTTAGTCGCATCTGATGCTTGAGTTGTAGACATTTTAGATTTCAGGCCAGAAGTGAAGAAACAATACTATCTTTCTACAGCTAGAAACGAGGAGTTATATTTCTTTATATTTAACTATCTAAATTATCTAAATCCAAAAAAAGAACCCCGCGTCACTCTGCACTTTGATGTTATAGCATCACAGTGGGCCTCGATGGCGGAATATCACGAAAGGTCATTTCTATTGGCTGAAAAGCAATTATACTCGGCGTGGGGATTAATTCCAAGTCTATCTTGCTTTCGCCCGAGAGACATAATACATACAATATTGTATAATAATGGTCCATGAAGTGATGTGATCCCCAGGTCCGGATGTTCTTACGAATTCGCGCACTGCTGGGCATTTCAAGAAGATCAAAACTTGGGATTTACTCAATTTTAGGAAATTAGATCACTTGGATTGTCAATAGTTAGGGTGTCTCGGTAGATTCTGCGACGGTTACAAAGTAAACTTGGATATCTTTGTTTCCGTTTTACTATAAAATATCCATAGACAAGAGGACAGACCAGATATATCCTCTCATTAAACTAATAACTGAATAAAATATGTGATTAGGATGTATTATCCCGGCCAGTATATCCCAACGAAAATAAGCCATCTTTCAGCCGCGCCAATCTCGTGAAAAAGCACCTCATCGTGAGCACAAATCAAGCCATTGTGGATCCTATACCAATTATTCCACAGACATGTGCCTTGAATCGCATCCCTGTCCAGGGACTCGGTACACTAGACGAACATCATTTAAGCATGCATAGTCCCAGTTCCATGTCCTCGGTATGATTGCTGAGGCTATTGTCCTTCTCTCTTTGCCTATCCAACATTACGCCCTATTAATAGTTTGAAACAGCAAATTTCATCCCACTTACTGTCTTTGAGTAGGCTCTTGGGCTTTACACGATGTCGAGCTTGCATGCTCGCGATGGTATTTTGACCGTCCAGCCACCTCTATCACAAGCAGTTGGCTATGTTGTTGTTGTTCTTATCGGTGTGATTATTGCCCTGGGTGAGTATTTCAATCCATTCTTCAATATTGCAACTAACACCAAACAGTGATGATGTTTATCACGAAAGTGTTGAAGAAAACCACCGGAGAGGATAACGAAAAGACGGAAATGTACGCAGATTTCTCTACAAATCTTGCTTCAATACTAATCCGGAAAACAGGTTCATGACAGCAAACCGTACTGTTCGCACAGGTCTAACCGCTTCAGCTGTGATATCGGTCAGTTCTTCTCCCCAATCGCTTGGATTCCAACTGATGAATTTGACTTTTTCAGAGTTGGCTTTGGTCAACCGCCTTACTCGGCTCATCTTTTGTTGGCTATGACTATGGCGTAGCCGGTCCATTCTGGTTTGCAGCTGGCTGCAGTCCGATGATTGTGTTCTTTGCGCTCTTGGGAATATCCTGCAAGCGAAAGATCCCGGAAGCGCATACTTCGCTGGAGGTTGTTCGGATTCGATACGGTAAGTTGCCTTTCGTCTCTTGTCTGGTCATCTGCTTACTCTATTTCGTGGTATAGGACATGTGGCACATGTTGTGTTCATGATTCTCTGTCTGGTGAACAATATCTTCGCCTGTGCCAATATGCTTCTCGGTGCCGCTGCAGTAATCACCGCCGTGTAAGGTTCTCTCAGTTCATTGAGAATCTCTAGCTAACCAACTAAGCACTGGAATGCATATTATTGCAGCGACATTTCTGTTGCCGGTTGGAGTCACACTCTACACATTCGTTGGTGGCATCAAAGCAACGTAAGTTCTCTTCCCTCAACCTCGGAAGTCCAAACATCTAACTCTGCTTTGTAGATTCCTCACCGATTATTTCCACACAGCTATAATTATGATCATTGCATGTTATTTCTCCGTCAAAGCCTTCTCGACTGACCAGATTGGCTCTGTGGGTGAACTCTTCGAGCTCGTTCAAGCAGCGGCGCAGCGACATCCGGTCTCTGGCAATCAAGACGGGACATATTTGACAATGACATCGAAGAGTGTGAGATCAAAAAATTCGACCAATTCTACAACTCAACCCACTGACGCTATTCTAGGCAATCCTTTTCGGAATCCTTCACACTCTTGGAAACTTCGGTTTGGTTATTGTAAGCAAAACACCATATCTCATTTCCATCCCATTCTAACTCCCTCTAGATGGACACAAGCTACTTCATCAAAGCCTTCTCAGCGTCTCCAGCAGCAGTAGTACCTGGTTATACAATTGGAGGCATTGCCTACTTCGCCATCCCATGGGGCCTGGGAACAGTGATGAGCTCCGTTGCCCTAGGAGTCGAGAACAATCCCGCCTTCCCCACATTCCCAAGGGTAGGACTGTGCCTCTCTGGATCTCACAAATGCCACTAACACCACAAATCAGAGAATGACAACTACAGAAGTCAGCAATGGCCTCGTCCTCCCATACGCGGCAATCACAATCGCCGGTAAAGGCGGCGCAGCAGCAGTCTTGCTGATAACCTTCATGGCGTGTACATCGACTCTCTCCGCGCAGGTAATCGCCGTCAGTTCAATCCTCAGTTTCGATGTATACCGCGAGTACTTCAAGAAGCAAGCCACAGACCGCGATCTGATCCGCGCGAGCCACTTCGGTGTGATTTTCTTCGCTGTTTTCTCCGCTGCCTTTAGTACCATGCTGCATTACGTGGGTATCAATCTAGGCTGGACGCTGTATATGTTGGGTATGTCATTCCCCTATCTTTCTTTCTATCTCGTATTAACAATATTCCCCTCCTAATAGGCGTGGTTACATGTCCCGGAATCTTCCCAATGATCTTCACAATCCTATGGCGCCGCCAAAGTAAAGCCGCCGCGATACTCTCTCCGGTCCTTGGACTGGCTACAGGTATGGCTGTCTGGCTCGGAACTGCCTCACATTTTAGCGGTGAAGTTTCTGTCGCATCGACGGGTCAAGTCCTCCCTTGTGTATATGGGACAGTCGCCTCTTGTCTCTCGCCCATTGTATACTCGGTTTTGATTACGATTGTCCAGCCGCAGAATTATGACTGGGATGACTTCAAGAAGGTCAAATTGTCGCTTGAGAAATTGGATAGTGACTTGACGACTCTGCATCGTGACCAGGGTTCTTCTCGTGGGAATGATGGCAGTGTTGAGGACGGAGGTAGGGGTGTCGGGGATCTGAAAGAGCTCAAACGGTGGAGTCGTATCGCGGCTTTTTGGGCTGCGGCGACGTTTTTGGGCCATTGGGTTATCTGGCCGTTGCCTATGTATGGATCTGGTTATATTTTTGGGAAGAAGGTATGTGTTACCACTTGAGCTTGGAACATTGCCGTTTTGGTTGACTGACAGTTCTTCTAGTTCTATATTGCCTGGGTCGTCGTCTCTATCATCTGGCTCTGGCTTAGTATGCTTGTTGCTATCTTCTACCCGATCTTCGATGGTGGTATTGCGCAGATTCGTGATGTTTATCGGGGACTGAGAGACGCCAAGAGTGTCACCGAAAGTGCTGGGAGTAAAGATGGCAAAGGAGAAAGTAGCTCCCCGTCTGTTGGGTCTATCAGCAATGTTACTCATACAGGAGAGTCTCAAGAGAACAAGACTTAAATTATTTGAGAACTGGTTTCTCTGCCACGATATTTGGGGGTTTTGGTCTTTTTGTTATGCTATTTTACTATTCTACGCTCCTCATTCCGTCTTTATATGGACTACATCCGAGCTATACATATAGTTCAACCAAGCCTCGCTCGTAATCGTATTTTTGTTGTTTTCCAATTCATAGATCGTCTACGAGATAGATGCAAAAAGCAAGCGACGCACATTCCATCACCCATCAAGGCTGATCCGGATATGCCCACATCACATGACAGCCATAAATGCTCATGTCCATATGTCAGCGAGATATTTCCAATCTTGCAAAAAAGAATAAGATGATCTAAGGGAAGCCGTTCTTCAAGTTAATGTACTTGGAGTCAGGGTACTGCAGCTGATTGCTGCTCTGCTCCAAAGCGCCGACACCTCCAAGGGTATCAACAACCTGTTCGTATGTCAGTAAAGTAAACATATATCAAAGCCAGAGGGTTACCATACAGTTGTAATCAAACTGTCCCCGCCAGCCTTGTCAGCGCTGCTCTCCCACCACATTCCACCACCCAGTCCGCGGGACTGGATGTACTGCGCCTTCATGCGCGCAATCTCAGGTGTGTCATAGCTGACAAACAGTCGGCTCTCTTTGTTGTAGCAGTAGCTTGCACCTAGTTGATCCAATACTGTCACGGCACAGTCTGTCAGTGGCAGGCCCTTGTAGTCCCACACGCCGTTTTCCCATGTGCCTTCTCCAACACCATTGTAGGGCTGTCCGGGGCCGTCGGTATTGGTAAACGCTCGGCCGTACACTGGCATGCCCAGCACAATCTTGTTGCCGGCTACGCCTTCCGAGGTGTAGTAGTCAATTGCTTGGTCCGTGTTAAATGGGGTGCTGGACGGGTTGTCGGTCGACGCGTGGAGGTTGGCATTGTGGCCGGCAACTGTGTCCCAGCTACCGGAGTAGTCGTAGGCCATGAGGTTCCAGAAATCAAGATACTGGTCCATCTCCTTCAGCCGTTGCTGGCGGTACTTTTCTGGGCCTGGGACTTTGTCAGTTGATTTGGGATATTCCAATTATGAAGATAAACTTACCAGCGGGGGATGCGACAGTAAGCAGGAAATGATAACCTCCAGCGTCGGCCGAGCTGTAAGAATCCAAAGCCTGAATTCAATTAGCCAGAGCTCATGGACGTTCATAGAAGGACCACATACCTCACGAAGTCGTCGGAGAGCATCAACAAACTTGTCCGCCTGGTCATCAGTAGCAGGGTACTATAGCATTCATAAGTATCAGGAACTCCCAGGTCACAACCTTGAAACTATTGAAGACTTACCTCATAGTCAACATCAATACCATCGAAACCGAGGTTCTTCAGCAGGTCCACGGAAGAATCAGCAAACTTCTGGCGTCCAGCCTCAGTGTCAAAGGCAGATGCAAAGCTGGGGGAATAGGTCCATCCTCCAATCGACAGAAGAACCTTGAGGTTTTTGTTGTTCTTCTTGAGAAGGAAGAGCTGCTTGACACATCCATAGACATTATCCCCGGAATCATTCCAGGAATCAGTGGGATAGTGCTTGTCAGTGTCTGCCCAGGAGTCCGACAGGTAGACCTCGCCTGTGCCGGAGCGAATGTTGGCAAATGCATAAAGCACATGTGTCAGTCGCTCGGCGGGAAGATCCTGGGGTTGGAAGTTACGACCGTAGATGGCCTGGGTGATAGCCTGATTAGTGTGGCTTCCTGGTTGGGTATTTGGATGACGTTTTATAGCTCCAGCTTCATCCAGTGGGATAATATATATGGTCTGAACTCACCCAGTTTACATAGTATGCCACCGAGCGGTACCCGCCAACATCACGAGATGCAATCCCAGTGCTGTTGGTGCTCAGGGCAGGAATGTAGGCAGCGTTAGCGAGCCAGCTCAGGCCTAGAAGAAAAGGAATGACAAGTCGCATGATGGAGGAGTGTGTCGAGATGATTTCTGGTGTCTCGGTCCAGCGAGGTTGGATGATGAAGGTTGTTGGGTTCGAGGATGAGGGAAATGAGCTCACTATTTGTAGTCGACGTTGGCAAACAAATAATCCTCTCTGCGGAGTATTAAGATGGTGGACAATAGTAATTGTCCTTTCAGTCCGTTTGCCTACAACTTCAATAGGTACCCTGTTACCTAAAGGATGACTTGCCTGATACCACGTCGTTTCAGCGTTGATATCGGAGGAATCAATGCAATTCTACGAGCTGTCACCTTCAGCAAGTTAAAAAAAAAGGGCCATTTTACGTGGCTAATACGAGGGCTCTGTGTTTCATGTGGAGATTGGCGGCGAGTTAAGCAGCACCACAGTGCATCCTCTCCACACTATCAAGACCTTACTACGATACCTAGCGTGTACTAGTAGTGCCTTTGATAGTAAACGCCAACTTCATGCCATACCACCCAAGTGTAACATTCTGAAATTGCGGGTTGGTCCCATTGTGACAATGCGACTATCTGTCCTCGTGGGGGCTAAAGATTCCCCGGGCAATCAGTCAGGCAGACTCCTAAGGATGGGTGACATTGTCATATGAAGTTCATTACTCATGCACAGTCAGTACGGAGAAATATGGCCCGGGACATTTCAAATTGTTCGCGACCAGGAGCTCTGTCTTTGGACGTTTACCCGTCCTGGATTGAAGTCCCATAGTAGGACCCATGTTAGTGGATGTAACTAAGTGTGGTATCAAGCAAATAAACCGGTTTATACTATTTAAAGTTATGATTTAGGGTCTAAGGATATGCAGTCTGACAGATATTAATGTACCGGTTCGCCCGGTCTGCAGGAACAGCCCCTGACGCCAATGTAACACTCAGGCCATGCGACCGGAGCATGTGCCGTATTAGGACATACCTAGGATAGGTTAGATAGTTCAGCCACTAAGAATATGATCTCATGATCGGACGAAGATCGGACGGAGAGAGAAGAAGTTCCTCACGTGGGTTGGCTTGATGAATCTGGTACTTGTTCAGATGTGACCGAGTATTGATCGTCAATAACTAGTAGTATTAACCATTGACTCAGGCTTGAATACCAGAGTTTCATTGAGCATGTACTGGATTCTTGAGAGAATATTCCCAAAATCGAAAGATACTACATTCAAATGTATACCTCACGATCACACCTGACTTCCAACCAGATACATTACAACAAGTCCAATGAGGCTCCAACAGCTCCGACAAGCTCCGGTCAAAGTACTTCATCTCACAGTGACTCTCACCTCCCCAACCAAGGCAACTCCCAGCTTCACCCGATCCAGAAATTTATCCTCGTCAGCAGTAATCTGGGCAGCGGCATCCGGGGCATAGATCTTGGCTGCGAATGCCTGGTAGGCAGCCTGATCCGCGAAAGTAAGTTCAGCGTAGGCGTCAAAGTCGAAGTCTGGCTGTCGCCCGCGGAGTATAGTTGCCGGGGTGAAGGCGTTTCGTGCGGTGGAGCCATCCGGGGGGATTTCAACTGTAGTGCGGGCGATATAGTTTCGATGGTGAGAAAGAGGGAAATCTCCGCCAGCCAGCTTCTTGACGAGTTTGACGTGCGCTTCGTAGCACTTCTTGAATTCTTCGGGTGATAGACGGGGGTTGCGGTAAAGAAAGACTAACATCTTGACAGGCATCTTGAGATTGCAAATAGTAGCAGATAAACTTAGTTAAGTGTCTGGTTTGGATATGCTGGGTTAGTTTGAACGTTAAAGATGAAGATTCAAACATACTAGAATGAACCGGTTATTTCTCGGGGGGTTTTACTTCGGTCCTTACTTTGTACCTTAGAAGCAGTGCAACGCGGAATATGCGGGTGTATGTGGCGTAGTATTTTCTGAAATCCACGGGAAAGCCACGGAGTTGTGCGATATGTGACTCCTCGGTTCCATTTCTATTTTGGATAATTGATGAAGTGTTCCGGATCATATAGTACTCAGTTAGAGTCCATTTTGCCATCCATTCAAAGCCAAGGACCTGCTTAGCAGTAGGAAGAGACTCAGGCCTAAATGTGAGCATCCACCGCAGTATTCAGAAAGAAATTTCGGGCTCCGTCGAGTCAATAGGCAGCATCCCTTGTGCTTGTCGAGGTCGCTGAAAGCTGTTCCCGAATGGGTGCTCTCATGACGGATATGGATTGCAATATATCGGCTTCCCGTCTTCGGTGAACATATTATGTCACACTACTTAATAGCCCTGGAGGTAGGAGTCTCAACGTTGTAATTGTAAATCTGATCTTTTCTCTATGGCAGGAACCTAAATGGGAAACGGCGCTGTATATAAAAGTAGAAGGTGCGTCCTTCAGTAACTTACCCCCTTCATCTATCACTTCTCTGCCAAGTCTACGTACAATACGATCCTATCGCTTCCGCCCCCTTTTCTTCATAAACGAGAACCAACCGTGGAAAGATACCCATATGGCATGACATGGCTATATGAAGTCATGATTGTCTGAAGGGTACTACTCCCATTTTGAATCACAACGGTAGCTACCGAAGACACAGACTTGGTGTGCACAAATCCAAGGATACTAGCTCCATCATTCTAATGTGGTGTTCAGCCTGACTCAAAGAAAACGTTATCCAGATCTTGGATAAAAGGAATAGAGGCATTTTGCATATCATATGTCCATGCCTTCTCTGTTCCCATGTTTCTTCTACTAAACTGGCCACGGAGAGATAATCCAGGCGAGCTAAATTTTGTGACAGGCATACATCACACCGTGTGCCATGGTCAGCGATCAAACCAGATCTTTTCGCAGACGACCGCATTCTGAAGAGAATCGATGTTCTGACGGTGCTGGACTGCTGTTATGCTGTATTATCAACAGAAGTAGATTTCAGTTTAATTTCACTTTGATATAATACGAATTTCACAGAGCGCCCCTCTATTTCCTCCCTTATATGCACGGTACACGAGCTGGAGATGAGACTTCCGGAAGCATATACGCTCAAAAGCCAAAGATCAAAACTACCAACCGTGTATGTGTGAAACAAATGAATTAAAGCAAGAAAGGACGAATTTAACATATATATAATCGACATAAGAAAAATTGGTTTTATGTGAACAGTAGGGTATAATTGAAACAAAAATAAGACAAAAGTAATCGTAACCATATAGCGCTGTGCAAAAAGGACTTTTCATGTTGGCCAACAGAATTAGGGGTATTGGTTGGCGATTAAAAAGGAGAAAACCATCCACATCTCATATTACTCACCGGCTGGCTCTCAGAGCGCTCAACCTTTCCGAGTACTCAGGTGGGGCAAGGCTCACGTCAACCACATCACTACGAATGTGGCTAGAAAAGTCGGTGGGAGAAGTCACATTGCGTGGGTGGAAGAACTCCTCCAGCTCTTGCTGTGTGACAGTGACACCGAGTGTGGTTTTAACAGATTCAGCGCACTTTGCTTGGCTAGTAAACTGGACTGGGAGACGGAGGGAGATTGTCGGTGTCATGAGGTTGGCTGCGGGGGTGTGGTATGTCAAGCAGAGATCGAGGGCGTAAACGCGAGACATCAAACAGGAGTGGAAAGTCGGGACGAAGGCTTTCGACTTGGGAAGGGTGACTGGGACAATGACTGATGCGGTATAGTAGGTGTCTCCGGAGAATGCGGAAGACGGACCGGTTGATGAATCGGATGATGATGAGTCGGTGGAGTCGCGGCGCATCGAGTCGGCAGCTGACGATTGTTTTGTCCACTGGGCCGATGCGACACACATGGTCATTAGAGGTACGTTTTCTGTGTAGAGGCCGCATCCAATATGGGCGAAGGGCATGCCGGTCGTGGAAGGGAAGTCTTCCCATGGGGCCGCACTGAAGAATGTGTTCGCGCGTAGTTTGCTGGTCATTGTTCCAAGTGGGGGAGGCTGCTCGTCGCCGACTGGATCGAATCGCAGATTTACAGTAGCCACAGTGCTCACAGTATCAGTTGGCTCGCCGTCTGGAGGAAGCAATTGAATAGGTTTGGGCTGGGAAGACGAAGCGACGATCCGTCCCAATTTGCCTCGTAAAGTTCCGCGCTTGACACTCTTCTCTTTGCGTGTGCAGAGAGATGGGCTTCCGGAAATTTCAATAGGAGGTTCTTCTTCCACAGTTGGGATAATGCGGACTTTCTTGGCAACGGCGGCGACAGCCACGACTCCATGGCCGGTGAGCTGCTTCTGAAGAACAGTCGCTCGAACCGTGTAGCAGATCTGGGACATGCTGGGTGCCATGTCATCTAGTAGTGTCTTGCCATTGCTCGCGAGAATGGGATCACCCAATGTTGGCGGAAGCATGGTGTGTGATCGTTGGATGTGAACATTCTTCCTGGCGTGGGAGCAGACCTGGGGCAGTAGGCGGTCCGGGACGACGAATGTGAAGGGGTATTCATATGATCGGCCACTCTCTAGCACGCGAGGGGTCGGATATTCCATCTCGTCAATAGGCTGGCGCAACTTGAGAAACATTTGCTGTGATCCCGTGCGGCCCGGGCATGATGCCCGTTCTACCGTAGTTCGAGATACACCTTTTTTTTCAAATTAGAATTGTTTATAGGCCGATTCTCAATGGGAATTACCTTCAAACGCAATCTCAATTTCATCAAATCGAGTCTCATGCTCAACGGTGACAGTTATGCTGCCTTCAATACTCTCTGCAGTGGTATAAGAGTTGACATGCCCTGGCTTTTGTCCTGCAATATTTATCTGGATCTTAGGCTGTGCACGTCTGGTCCAAGCATCTAGCTTGTCTGAGCCAGAGCTGATGATTGAAGTTGCCGTCGACATTGTTTCACAGGGAAAGCAAAGACAATACAAAGGCCCGTCCCACAGAGAAGCGCGGGAACAAAATGGCAGCCGATGTCGAAGTTAAGAGAAGATGAATATCAAAAAGAAAGAAAAATGTAGAATAGGGACCAGACCAGATTGTTCTTAAAGGAAAAAAGAAAGGAAGAAAAAAATAGTACACGGTGGAGCCGTTGACAACCGCAATGGAGTCACGACACAAGTGTGGAGGAACCCTGACAAGCAATGTGAACAAGGTTTCAGATTGCCTCATCGGATATGTTCCAAGGTTCTTAGAAATCAGCTGGGAGTGACTCACAGCCTTGTCATGTAGACGGCGCATCTATATTATACTTCCTCCATGATCATCATCATCCACATTTCCCCAAATCTAAAATGCGAGCGATCGTATACAATTCAGTATAGGGAAAGCCGAGCCAGAGAGTCATAGGAGTTGAGAGTGTGATTGGTTGGATGCGAGGATCCGTTCTTGCTCATGCACGCCCTTGGATGGACATTCCGCTTGGCCAAAGTGCATTTAAACAGATCACTAGCTCAGTTCAAGGTCGCACATGATATTCAGTTGGCGTATTCGCAAACAGCTTTGAAGGGCATGTCTCTAGAGAGTGCTTTTCTTCTTTCCAAGATCTTTCGGTTCTTCCCTTTCACACATTTCAGATCTCTCAAACTAAAAGAACCAGTCAACTCCAAAGTACACAAGAGGTACGGAGTACAAACTCCGTGGGTCAAGGGGAAAAGTGGAGTGCGCCTTACTACGACATGCACGCCCTTTGAACTCCACAGACCCGTCCACATTCCCCCAAGAACGCCCGAGCTTCTCCCGTGCTCGTAAAGTGGCCAATCATCGTGCTATGTCGTGGAACTCTGTTCATCAGAATAACCGGGATTTCAAAGCAATATCCCGTTGACTTTCATTCTGCTTTTGTAACACTTTTTGGTCATATTTGAGGACCTTCAGGTTTTCAATGCCATATGAAGGTCGACAGTATGCAGTTTTCCCGCGGAAAAGAAACAATGGAACCCGGGCCTAGCCTCGGCCCCAGAGATTTCCGGCCATAACCGAGATTTGTGGTATGCCGAGCTGGTGTAGTTTTTTTTTTCTTCTTTCCCGGAGTGTCGGAGTGTCGGAGTAAACGACCGAAAGAAGGAATCTTGGATGGCGCAATTCAATCTCGGTGTCCAAAGTAGAAGTTGGGGGGAGTCGGCAGACCGATGTCAGGTCGTCAGGTGATCTCTTGGTTATACATGGGAAAGTCGTGCTTTTCACCATGTTCCACAGTTTGCAGAAAGATATATTTTTCGAATGACATTCGAAGATATCTTAAAGTTATCTTAAATATAAATGCCCCTAATCATCTTGAACCAAACGGATCGGATTATTGGAGGTCAAGAACAGAGGCATATGTAGCCGACAAAATTGTCACATAAATGGATCTAAAAGGAATATCTGCGACTATTCTTGTAGACATTAATGGAAATACGACCAGTTGGTTTTTAACATAAAGATTTGGAATAAATTTGTTTCCATTCAGTCGCTAGAAAGTATATAGAAAAAAGATTGACAAGGTTGTCCCGACTGATAAATTACGACGTAGACCCGTGGTGCATAGCGGATCAAATCGTACTCAAAAAGCGTCGACGCGTTTTCACGCTCCTTCTTGTCTCATACAAGCCAGCACTAAAAGTGACCGGCTGCATCCAGCTCAAGATTAGCCGAGGGGGAACGGCAGACCGAGCGAGGCAAGAGACATCATGAAAGTGACTACGCAGCTAAAGATAGCAGGTTTATGTAGTGGAATGTGTCAAGGCAATCAGCCTCCGAAAATTAGTCGAAAATTAGTGGTGGTTCAAAGCCGCACAATCGTCATCCATTAACAAAGAGGTAGGTATCTGAAACCCGTGTACAGGGCAGCAAGGAACGCCAGGAGACGCCGCAATCAACCCGAAATCAATACGCCACCCTTGTTCGCATATCCTGGGAGATGTTAGTGAAATGACAAATACACACTGGTGAACATGTGCAGACTTACCGAAATCTTACGCTCGATCTCACGAACAGATCGATCGAGTTCGCCCGCAATCATCAACTTCGTATCATTAGGCAGCAGGAGATACATTTCACAAAGATCTCCATCAATTACGCCCTTCACGGGGGCATAGTAGCCGCGGTACATCAAATGGTCTCGTCCGGCCAGAGGGGGTTGCTGGGAAGCCAGCTGTGTCTCCAGAAGCTGGAAAAAGTCGACGTCCTCACGGCTGGCAAAAGGGACAAACATTCCAATTGTGCCTTGGAGGCCAGTCCAGACCACAATGTCACGGCCTCCAGCGACTAATTGAGTCTTGTGCAGACTAGTGGGAATATCCTGGGCGTAGAAGTGAACCATCAACTCGAGGCGATGGGCAGTTCCATGGAGATAACCCTTTTCATGGATGAGGTGCGCCCCGGATGCATCCTCGTCGGCCTGTTCGGAGACCTTGCTAGGGCAACGGACAAGCCACAAGTTTCCGAACTTGTCACCTCCAGCAGTCGTCTCGTAATCAACCATAGTTGTACTCGATGTCCATCGTGCGATGGAGTCGTCTGCGAAGGGAATCAGGACATTGTCCTGGTACTTGTAGACAACATAGGTGACACTCTCGCGGACGTCGCTGACAATGATCCGGCTGCCTTGGGTCTGCAGGCCCACGATGGTCTTGGGAACCACCGGCGCTTGACATTTCCGCAGTAGTTGCTTCATGCCAAGGTCGTACACCCGAAGGATGGGGCCGATGCCTGCCAGGAGGCGTCCTTGGAAGCCAAGAAGAGCGAGAGGAGGCTCATCAACTTGGGTCTTGTGAATGAACTCCAACTCCCGACCATCCTCCTGGAATCGATAGATATGGATGAAACCACAAGAGGAAGATGGAGGGCTGACTGTCATATCCTTGGCGGTTCCCACAACCAAGAAAGTCTCATCATCTTGACTGGAAAAAGGTACTGCGGCAACGCTGACTGCTGCCTCATTATCCTCGAGGTCCAGATTGAAGATCACAGACTTGGTGGTGATCGGCTCCACAACCTGGATACATGAAGCCCAGTGGCCAGTGCCTCGGGGATAGCCAAAGTCTGCGGGCGGCAGGTCTGCAGCCTCGCCATTCTGAGCTTGGGAATCATCAATCAGTCGCTGGCGGGTGGCATGAGATAGGACATTGTTGTCAGATTCAATGACGTAGAAGAGGGGTTGGTCGGGATGCTTCACAAAGCGTCGAGGAGTGTAAGAGAGAGGGATGGACTCTTGGAGCATGTTGTTGTCCAATTTCTCAACGGTGAAGATCCTATTTTTAGTTAGTACCAGTCCAGAATGATGTGCAGTCTCAACGTAGTATAAGAGAGGGTCGATCTCAGAAGGAACAATTGGAATTTTTCTTTTAAAGTTTCATCCACATTAAAGTTCGGATTGATTTTCTCATCATATGATCAAGGGGATTTTGGGGGATTGGGGGAAACTTGGAGATGGGATGAATCACATACCGTAGACTGCGGCCTTGAATGCCGATCATGCCCTCCACACACTGCTCACTTGAGAAATTCCATCCCCATTCTAGCCCGACGTAGTCCAAGGGTGTGAGCATGAAGCTTTTGGTTTGGACGTCAGAGTATCCCAGCCAGGGACGGGTGCTGAGCGCGAGAACAGCGGTTTGGCCCTTGACGGACACTTGGGATAGTTTCACAGGCTTAGCACCGATGAAGCGAGTTCGGGTATCTGAAAGCTCACCAGTCACCTCGTCCAAAACAGTACGAAGGTAGACACCAGAGTAAAGTCCGATGTGGAGATAAAGAGTCGTGCCTCCCGAGCTCGAGTCGGCCATGGCCATAATTTGTAGGGCAGACGGTGCAGATGTCAATGCTTGAACTGATTTGTTCTCGAGTGTTGAGTCTGGATCCAGGCTGAGAATGCGGACAGTAGAGTCATCACATCCAACAGCCAGGAATGAGCTTCGCATGCGGCCCTCAGGGACCTCTCCCATACTCAGGGAGGTGACGGTACCAGACATCTGTCGTCGCTCATCATACTCTGCCAGTGTACCGTCCGCGTCCATCTCAAAGTAGACAATTTCACCAGAGCTGAGTGCGACCGCAACTTGACGTTCATTCGTGGCTGCTGCAACGATGGACCGATGCTGTGGAGCGGGCCATTCATTGACTTGCTGATCTGCGAGGATATGACGAATGCCTCGAGGGTGAACTTGGACTAAAGAATCCTCACCAAGTTGTTGCACTGCCAGCGTTGGAGCCGAAGAAAGGAATCCCGTGTCCGAAACTTCCTCGACAATTTCGCCGATGCTCAGGACGAGAGTGCCATTTGCAAAAGAGAGAATGATGTACGTGTGGAACTCATCGCCTCGCGTCAATTTGGTTGTCCATACAGCCGAAGGCACCTGTTGAAGATCCGACTCCACGATCTCAGAGACTTCAAGGCCGTGCTTCAAAGTCCGGAATGTGCTTCGGGCCCCAGAGCCACAGATTGTGTAGATTTGAGGTGCGTCGTCCTCACTCAAATTGAGGATCTTGCTGTCAACCAGAGGGCTCAAAGAGTTCATGCTTTCCATGAGGTTGACATTTTCAGCGCCTCGGGGATGGAAGTAGATCGGCGTGGAGGGCACAGAGTGATCAGCCGAGAATGAGTCGCTGGTGAAGAAGGCCTCGCTAGGATCATCACCAAGCTTTTCGAATTGATAGAAATTGTGATTTCCAGATTCGCTGGCAGCATAGAGGAAACCGCTCTTCAGAATCAGCAGGTTGGTTGATACAGGGATCGTATCAAAGTATTTTATCGTCAGTCTCTTCACTTCTCCGGTGGGTTTGCCCTGCTTGTCTTCGACCATTTCCAGGTTCAACTTGAACAGATCACCATCCTCGGTTTGGAGAAGGAAGAAGAAAGCACCTCTCATCTTGTGCATGACTCCCGAGATAATTGATCGCTTCCGCTCAGGATTTTCGGTGGCTCCGCTGCGTCGCGGGATAGGCACGCGGAACGCAGCTTGGTTAGAGTGGCGGTAGGTAATGTTATCCTCCGCGCACACCAAGACACCACTGGGACCGTCATCTCCTCCGGGTACCTGGAAGAGCATGGATGCTGTGCGATCGACAGGGTCAGACCACTTGCGGACAACGTGGTTCAAACCGAGGTCAAGTTCGTAGTACACCAAGACCTTCTCGATTTCTTCGTACGCTTGACCGGTAGGATCCTGGTCAGATTCCGAGTAGTCCACCTCGAGAGCAGCGAAAACGGGGTTGTCATAACCAACGTCCAAGCAGATCATGGCAAACACCAGGGTCTGTGGCTTGTGGGCTTCCAGTGGTGAAGAGATGGTAAGTTCTGCCTGCGAGTTACGGTTGAGAACATAGACCAGCTTGTTCTTTTCCACAGAAGCAATCAGACACGCACGCCCCTTTGGATCGACTGCGAGATATTGACCCGGCACGACACGGCGAACTCCAGACTTTCCGAATGTCTCCATATGGATGCGATTGAAGCGGTTCTGGGATGGAACATATTCAATGATCGTGATGCGACCCGAGTCCGAGCCGATGATGATGTAATCTATTAAAATCACTCAGCACAGTCCGTTGATAATAACACATTGCGGGTATCAACATCGCTGTCCAGGGCAGGTCTGAGCCCTCCTTCAAGGGGTCAGTTCGTAAGAGGACCGTGCTGCCCGGGAAGCTTGGAGAATCACTAAGTTGTACTCGTAAAGGGGCAGACGAGGGGTGTTAAAAAAAAAAGACGTACCTTTACTGCTTCCAGCTACACGGAAAGCTGCGAGGGAGCGAATGATGCCGAAAACATCCTGAGAGAAGAGTGGCGTGATCTTGCCCTGGGCCGGGTCAGGTCGATGGATGGTCAATTTCGAGCCTGACGAGGTGACGATCTGCTGGTCCCTAGTGCCTGCAAATTGGCCCAAGATGGCCTGTGTGATGGCAGTTGGGGGCTGAATCGTCAGGGAGTACATAAACATGTGCGATGTGGTAGCCATGGTGGGCGACTAGGTATCGGTTTCCCGGTACCACGTAGAAAAGGTGGAAGCTTTGTACATGCAATTGCAAGTCAGGGGGTATGAATATTACATCAGTCCCATCCCTGCTGGGTGGAGTTAAGAAAGAGAAACTCCTCAAGGCCACTTGCCACGGATAGAGAGAGGTGTAGCCGTGTGATCAGACTCGAAGAGGTAAGGAAGAGAAAATATTCCTCGCCGTGTGGGAGCTTCCACTAGCGCGTATGGCACGTGACTCATGTTTCGACCGCCTTCCACGCCGCGCTGATTGATGCAAGGCAGATCGCCTCCGCATAACGGCCTCACTGACTTCCCTCTCTCACATTCATCTCACTTCCGCAGTTTTCATCCGTATCACAAGAGTTCATTTGATCAGACGTTTGATCCGCCCGTTAATAGTCTTGGGGATATACCCTTCATCATTGGTCCACATCCCAATTATCACCCCACTTCCTCTGCAATCATCATACATCCGTTAGCCATGGCCGACGAGACGGCTACCACGGAGCAGGCCCCCATTACCTTCACTGTCAAGTCATCCACCGATGCCAAATACACCCTGACCCTTCCCCTCACCACTCTGGTGTCAGATCTCAAGCAGAAGCTCTCAAGCCCCGAAAATGCCGATACCCCCGCAGAACGTCAGCGATTGATCTACTCGGGTAGAGTTTTGAAGGATACAGAGACACTGGAGACCTACAAGATCAAGGATGGCCATACTATTCACCTCGTAAAGAGTGCTGCGAGCAATCAGCAGCGCCAGAACACAGCTGCTCAGCCCAGCGCAGCCACTGCGGGTGGAGCAACCCCAAACCCGGCAGCAGCTGGTATCCCAACCACTCTCGCCGCTGGCACTGGCAACAACCCGCTCGCTGGCTTGACTGGTGCACGATATGCGGGATTCGCCCAACTTCCTGGGGCCGGTCTTTTCGGCCCTGATGGTGGGGTAAGTGAGCTGTTCTGGGGGATGGAAGTAATTTAACAATGCCTGCAACATATAGCTAACATTTTTGGCCACTTAGATGGGTCCTCCGCCAGATACCGAGTCGATGCTCAACATGCTCGAGAATCCTCAATTCCAATCGAGCATCAACGAAGCCCTGCAAAACCCCGCTATGATCGACATGATGATCCAGCAGAATCCCATGCTTCGCGACATGGGACCCGGAGTCCGGCAGATGATGGAAAGCCCAGAGTTCCGCCGCATGTTAACCGATCCGAGCTCGATTCGACAGATGATGCAAATGCAACGCGCTATGGGAATGGGTGGCGGACTCGGTGGCGGCGATAGTGCATTCCCCGCCCCGGGGGTGACCAACACGACCCCAGGCTCCGAGCAACAGAACGCGCAAACAAATCAATTTGGGCAGATGCCTCAAAATCCGCTTGGAAACGCAAACCCTTTCGGTGCTCTCTTCGGAGCTAACCCGTTCGGAGCCCCAGCCCAGCCTTCTGCCACCCCAGGCGCCACTCCGCCCGGCGGTGCAACAGGTACCGACTCTGCGGACCGCTCAACATCTGCCGAGGGCCAGACCGCTCAAGCTGTTCAGAACCCCTTCGCATCTCTCCTGAACCCCGCTATGTTTGGCAACGCTGGACAAGCCGGCCAGGGCGGTATGAACCCGTTCAATCCTCAGCAGAATCCGTTCCTACGTGACCCGGCGCTACTTTCACAGATGATGCAGGGAATGGGTGGACAGGGCGCAGAAGGTGGAGCCGCTGGTGCAAATCCTCTGGCTGCTCTACTTGGAGGTGGTGGCCTTGGTGGTCTCGGAGGTGGCTTCGGCGCCCCACCGCCTACAGACACCCGCCCCCCGGAGGATAGGTATGCCGATCAGTTGCGGCAGTTGAACGACATGGGATTCTTTGAGTTCGAGCGGAACATTGAAGCTCTGCGTCGCGCAGGCGGCAGTGTTCAAGGAGCGGTGGAGTACCTCCTCAGCCACCCATGATAATTTCTGTGCTGTTTTATTTCTCCCTTTCTAGCACAGCCTTGCGGTTACTTTTCTCATGTATTCAACTTCTATTGATTTTGCGAGGTGATGAAAGGCTCCCTCGGTACTTATGACTTCTCATTCCCCTTTTAGCATGCCCATCTCCTGTGTGATCCTTAGCTAGTTTTCTGGATATCTCATCACTTCAGAGCTCAGAATAACATCGGATCATTTCTAATTGATGTTTCTGTGTCATACTTAGAATCCCATACCAGTCTTCAAAACTTGATTCCAGCTTTATCGCATAGCCCACAAAGTTAGTGTTATATAAAACCAGGGCGCGAAAATGGAACATAAATGTTACATCTTGAAGGAAAGCCCTTTAATCTAGTGGCATCGAGGTGCGTAGAAACTTCCAATGCTGTTTTTCCGGCCGAATATTACGTTTGTGGTTGTTATGGCCAGAAATCTTGCAGCACTTTGGAGCTCCAAAGCTCTAGGCTTATTCGAAGAATACGTATGACTATGACTGATTAATATCCGTGCCAGAGCCATCAAATCAGCGTTGGCCAAGGGAGAAGCTAGGTCCTTTTCTTCCAAGGGTATATATAACTTCGAACGATTGCTCGGCAATAGAATTGCGGTATTCTCGATCTGCATTAGCTACTAGAAAGAAACGGCAACGAAACATACTTCTATCAGGTGGAGACGTATAAGATCTAAAAGGCCGGGCAGTTTGTTCCCCAAATCTAGTCGATGAAATTGCTAATTTGGTTCTTGCCAAAGTGTTGTACTTGAATCACAGATAATATAAGCATTCTATCTATCCTTGTATAATGAAATCAATGAGATGAACATGAGAGACTCGCTCGGAACAAGATCATGAGCCAAGGGCAACAAAAGTTGACACCGAAGGACGAGGCATGAGAGGGGAAGAAGAAAATCCATCTACGACACAACCTTGGAAGGGTATAGTCATACACACGACCCGCAAACCACAAACCCACCCGTGGACACCTGGGCATCATTTAGCTTGATGGGTCATCAATCTGCCTGGCCTTCGCCTGCCCATCTGAGATCTCAGATATTAAACTCATCTCCATGTCACGCGACTTGCGAAAAGTCCACTTCGTATTATTCCATTGACCATCGAAGCATATGCCCGGATGAAGAATGGTCAAAGCCAAAAGCGCGATCACGAGCATAACTCCCTCCAGGACCATGAAGACAACCTCGTTGTTTGCCAACGAGCTGTGGAATCCACCATTGAGCTCTGCGACTCGAAACACAGAACGAACGAAAATGGTAAGCGTTGCTATGGTCAGGCCTGGATGGATGATTAACAAGCGCTGTGAGATATGAAGGGAAGGGAAGTGGGAAAATAACTCACCAGCTAGGAACGCTTTCCACTTGATGCTATTGCGGAGATCACTCATGTGTATCTCAGGGTTGAGTTTGTGCTGGCTCTTGCGAACTGCCCAGGCGAAATCCAGACAAAGCGCCATGAAAATAGCGAGGGAGACAACCTGAGTTGATAGACCGGCGATCATGATATTAATGCCAGCTTGACCTAGGTCAGGTTGGTCCGCATCAGCAATAGAGGTAATAGCGCCTCCTGAAGCCTGGAGTAGCAGTGAAACGAGATCACAGAGGATGAAGACAATAGTGTAAGTCCGAGGACGGAGGCGCGAAATGTTCTCTCCATAGATGACTACGATCCGCCCGAGACAGATATAGATTGAGGCACTGATAAATGCAGGGCCTATTGTGAGGCAGACCAAATATCTATTCAATAGTTGTCAGTATGTCTCTGAAGCCCGGCTCAAGACACATGTGGATGTAATGGACATACTCAAGGTAAGGATCGAAGCGGAATGGATTATAATGCATCTGCAATCGTCCAGCATATCCGATTATTTCGAGCACTAGGCCACCAAATAAACCAGCGAGGTAGCCCCAGGTCCGATATCGAATGCCCAAGACCACCTGGACTACCAACAGAACTGCAAAAACGCCAAGGTAAAAGGCATTCCCGGCCAGTGAAGGCACGTACTCAACGTACGCTTCGCTTAGTGGACAAATGTCCAGCCTGCAGTAATCGGATGGATCTGTTGAATTGCTCATGGTGATTTCAGGAGACTCGATTTATGTAGAGGTAAGAAGCTTGCTAGCGCAGGCTATTTAACTGTCAGTTCATATTGCATCTTTGACCCAAACATCTCCCAAAATAGCTCTCGCTGGGCTTAGTTACTCCATGATCACTGGTCTGTGGTTCATATCCATCGCAAATATCGGTGCCTACTTCAAGCTGACGTTAGCCGCTAAGCTACCTAGGTAGATGGACATGGACAGGAGATAACGCGGGTATATTCTCGATGCCATTGCTTATGCGACTAACAGTGCTTGATTCGCCATCGAAGCTGTGAGTGGAGGATGAAGCTGGGATGTCTTGGCAGGGGCGCCAAAATGCGGACACGGACATGGACACGGGCACGGGGTTTGATTTTTTAGGAGTGTCCAGAGTATGGGCGAGAGGGAAATGGGCATCGGCACGGACACGGACACGGACACGGACATTGAGGCTGATACGAAGACCTTGGAGCCAAGACCCAAACAAATACACATCTATCGAGACGCTATTTTGGTCGTCAAAAGCCAGTCTTTTCAGCCCCCAAATCCTCGGGTCACAACATTGGCTGGGGGGAGAAACCACAACAGGCTGTGAGATGCATGCGAAGTTTCTGTCTCGGAAAATTTGTGTGAAAATATGGCCGATGGCCACTATGATATTCTGTGTCCGGACGAGACGTGACTATCTATCTGCCATGGATCATGCGTAGCTGCATCTGTATATCTCTACTGCGCGAAAATTTCGTGTACAATACATATCTTTATAGACCTCTACTCCTTATTCTGTGGGCATAGACGTTGAAAATGATGTGAATGTGATACCACCAGTCCATGCCCGCCGGCAGACTAGCCCAAACGCTGCTGGTTCAATGATGTCGTCGTTTGTGCGATCCAGTCGATATACATCTCGTCAATCGCCGTATCTGGGAAGAAGCCCGGCCACTGGATATAGTTGTCTGGACCGCTCAATGTTGGCTGCAAGGCGTCAACACAATGGCCTGGGTCTCCGGTGGGTGGATCAATCCCTTCCGCAAGTTGCGCATCATGAGAATAATCATTGTTCGGTCCCAATATCGCTTGACTTTCAAACCACCATTGTACACGCTTCAGGCGCTTTTCATAGTGAAAGAATACATCCCTGTCTCCGGAAGCATCCATATCTGACGTGATGAGGGCCTGGATGCGAAGAATACATTGTCTCATCGTGTTAGAGATATCCAGCGCACGACATAAATCGACTGTATGAGGATGGACTGAAGGCTCTGATGCTGCTACCACTAGCTTGCACGCAAGCGTTACTGCGAACCCGAGTTGAACCCATCCCACATTGGGAAACTTAGCATCGCAGCCTAAGGGTAGACCCATGTAAAAATGGAGTAACGTCTTGGCTGCGGTGAGTCCCATGCGCACCACTTCAATCTGGAAGGACAACTCATGGCGTAGGGCTTGCGCGCCGGGCTTGTGGTCGAAGAGCGTGATCTGGCATAGATACATCTCCACAGTATAGAACTGCATGAAGAGAATCTCTGTGACTGAAAGTTAGTAAAATGTTGTTCAAGAAGGGCGGTTCAGTTCACGAACGGCTTTCAGTCAAGAGATATGGTAAATTGGCGCGGTACAAATCAAGTTCAGATTTCAACTCGCGATAATAATGTTCTAGACCAAAGCTAGTATTCTGCGTTTCTGGGACATGCTGCATTGAAACAAGTGTGATTTTCTCGGAAATTTGTTGGAGCTGCACAATATAGAGGAGATATCTGTCTGACGGATACTCTGCATCTGCGGCCAATAACTTGCACATACTCTCGAAATATGGTGAGTATGGGAAGGAGCATCCCTTTTGTAATATCTGTGAGATTCTAGAAGGCATCAGATATGTTGACTCAACCATCCGTTGTCGAGAGAGATGGAGGTACTTGCGAAGATGACAGATAGGAGTATCCAATAACAGCTCTCTTTTCTTCCCGTCCCCAGGACACAGACTTTCTGTCCAGCTCAGTATGAAAATTTACTCTGGTTCTCCAGAATCGATGTTCCGGAGGACGGTCGAGTTGTAGATCAGTGATGATACTGATCGCAAGATGTAGATATTGGGAGAACCGACGGGGTCTAGAGTGATACTGGCACCTATTTTATCTGTCAATCAACGATGAAGTAGAGATAGAAAATCAGGGCCTACCACGCAAGATGAACCAAAAGCCCCTGAAGTATCTCGAACGAAACTTTGCCATCAAAGATCATACAGTCACTGATCACCTTCTTTACCTGCTTCTCTAGGGTACGCTGCAGAGGCATATTGTCATGCAGAGCGGCCGTGAGGATAGTGAGAAGAAGAAATGGCTTGTCTTCTCGCAGTGTTTCGGCTGTCGTCTGCGGTGAGATTATCACGAACGGGCAGTGTGGCATGAGTGTCGTTCGGAATTCATTCAGTAGCATGTTGGCGGCGTCTATGGTAAGTAGCCCTTGGTCGATGACATCTTTCGCGTCTGCAGAAGTACTCGAAGTCACCTCGGCCGTGCGGCCGTTTGTCTTAATTGTCAGTCGTTCCCAAGATCAATGAAGCGTGATGCGGGAACCAATTTTGTACCGGAATTATCGCCCCTGATTGGGCCAGCAGCTGATCTACTTTGGCCTCCAGTGCCTCAATCCTTCTTTGATGCAGTTAGTATGATAAGTCGAACTAGGAGGATATATATCTCACCTGTCTTTACTATCCCATTGACTTGTAGACTTTACAATTCGGCCCTCCCGGAAGTGACAGGATTTCCCCAAGCGGGCGCACCTAGCAGCAGTGAGACAGTGAGGATCGACGATCTCTCCGACTAACCTACCGGTCGCAACTCCCTGTAGCCTCAGAACGAATGCAGCGAATCTTAGCCCTTGCGCAGTTTTGACAGGTTTTGCCAGATCCATTAGAATATCTCCCCTTTTGGCGGTCAGCCATGACCGGGTCAGTTGTTCGCGGTGGAAAGCCAAGGATGAAGAAATAGTCAATTGATGAGAAATTGGAGCTGAGCACACTGAGGGGCGGCTTCTTTGACACGCGTTATATGATTGGATTCGTATTCTCTTGGCGCGTGTAAATTCTAGATCTCCTGGGTTTGCTATTAACGTATGATACTATATATATGTACTACTAGGATTGCTCCAAGGTTTGTACCTGCCCTTTGACTACTTTCGGGATATATGTATCTTACAAGGCTTACAAGTATTGCTTCGGATATATGCAAATTTGACCATCCTTTTAGTGCCTTTGTTCATATATCGATCTCCCTGGCCCCCTCAGGTCCACGGGTGGCATGCGGGTGGCATTCTGATTAGGTAATCCGGGGACACGCTGGAGGAGGCCAGGGCAGCGCGAAGCTCACCGTTACAAGCTCCTCGCAGTTGCTCAAACTCTTTTCTCGACACACCTACGACTGCTGTGGCATTAAGTGCCAGTTTCATTCGTTACTTACCTGTTCTGCGGCAGGTTTCTGGCGAGGTGAAGCAATCTGGTGATCCTTAGCAACTTATCATCCAACAAGCGCTTCCGACATCAAGTCCACCGTTGAACAGTCCATCGATTATCTCAGCAGAGAATCGCTTGAACGGGATACCGCCTACACATAGTCATCCTTGGCTCATTGGCTCACTGGCTTCCATCTATCCTTTGCGGATCGACACACCGTAACCCAGCGGTACAACCCTCCATACTTTGTGTACATGCTGGGTCGATAGCTACCCGTTTACTCCGGGTTGAGATAAAGCAGATCTCTTTACATCTATTGAACATGGCCTTTGGTCAATTCTGTTACCGTCAGTGTGCACTGTGGGTGCTGCTGCTGGTATCCTGTGCTGGCGCATTCTACATCCCTGGTAAGCACCAAGGCGTATTTTGGTTGGACTAAGCATGTGATACTTACACTTTCCCTGCCACTAGGATACTCGGTTACCCGATATTATGACGGTGATCCGATTCCTCTTCTGGTAAACAAGATCTTCTCCGATCACACCCAACTACAGTATGCGTATTTCGACCTGCCTTTCGTCTGCCCACCGAGCGGCAAAAAGCATGGCGGCTCACCGTTTGGATCCGGCCAAAGTATCTCGCTCAATATTGGCGAGGTACTGCGTGGCGACCGAATCACGACCTCCGACTTCGAAGTTATGATGGGGAAGGATGTTGAGTGTCAGTCGCTCTGCACCCGTGAGGTTAGTCGGTCAGATGTGAAATGGGCCCGTCAGCTTGTTAAGGAGGGATACGTGATTGAATGGATTGCCGATAATCTGCCAGGAGCCACGAGCTTTGTAACAGTGGACCGCAGCCGCAAGTATTACGCGTCCGGATTCAAGCTTGGCTATCGAGACATCTCTCCAATCACCGGACAGCATCGGTACTTCATTAACAACCACTTCACAATCGTCATCCGCTGGCGGAGCGTACCGGAAGGAGGGAAGGTGGTCGTAGGTTTTGAAGTGTACCCCAAAAGTATTACCGCCGAGGACCGCCAGGAAAATGGATGCCCTACAGCTGTACACAATAACAACGAAGGACTGGGGTTGTATATCGCGCCCAACCTTTCACGAATGCAAGAAAAATATTCCGGACTGTCGTATATCCCAGATGACGACGACGATGACGACGGAGCGACACTGAAGGTCCCTTACACCTACTCTGTCTACTTCCGAGAGGAACCTAATATTGAGTGGGCCAACCGCTGGGATTTGTACTTTACCAACCAAGCCGAAAGTTCGATAACTCACTGGCTGGCGATCATCAACTCGTTGACAATTTGCACCGTGCTGGGAGTGACCGTGTTCGTCATCTGGAGCCGCACAGTGCAAGGTGACCTTAAAGGTCGCGGCGATGGTGCTATGGACGATCGGAAGATGAAATCCCAATCTCGACGCCGAAATCGCAAGTCCGGTGAGAAGAAGGGCGAGGGACTTCTGGACGATAGCGCGGACGTGGAGCGCGATGCGGACTACTCCTCGGATGATGAGGCTCTCGAGGATACATGTGGTTGGAAGCTTCTACATGGGGACGTGTTCCGTATCCCGGCTTATAGTGGTCTTCTTGCCCCGTTGGTTGGATCAGGAATGCAGTTGTTATTCATGGCTTCAGGCTTGCTCTTGCTCAGCTGCCTGGGAGTCTTGAACCCAAGCTTCCGTGGTGGCTTTGTTAGCGTAGGTATGGGCCTATTCGTCTTTGCCGGCCTTTTCTCCGGTTACTTTTCAGGGAGACTTTACCAAACCTTTGGCGGAACCGCTTGGCGCAAGAACACGCTAATTGTGCGCATCCTGCTCCAATCATTCGTGTGCTATGCTAATCTATCATTTTAGACCGCTTTGCTCTTCCCTGGTCTGGCATTCTGCCTCGTGTTGATTCTGAACTTGTTTGTCTGGGCCCAAGCATCCAGCACGGCAATTCCTTTCAGTACTCTGATCGGCCTCCTTGCGCTTTGGCTCCTCATCCAAGTCCCATTGGTGTACATTGGCAGCTGGGTCGGCTATGTGCGTGCGACGCCATGGGAGCACCCTCTGAAGACGAATTCGATTGCCCGCCAAATCCCACCGCAGCCCTGGTATCTCCGCACCCCTCTCGGGGCTGTGGTAACCGGTCTCCTTCCATTCGCAGTTCTCTTTATTGAGCTGTTATTCCTTTTCAAGAACTTGTGGCAAGACAAGTCTGGCTATTACTATGTCTTCGGCTTCCTGAGTGTTGTCTCGACCGTGTTGATTATCACCGTCGTTGAGGTGACCGTGATCGCAACATACAGCCAGCTTTGCTCTGAGGTAAGACTGTCCTTAGCTTCAATTATGGATCACCATACTAACTCCCTTAGAATTATCATTGGTGGTGGCAGAGCTTTCTCACCGGCGGCAGCAGCGCTTTTTGGATTTTTGCCTACTGCATCTGGTATTACCTGTTCAAGCTCCACATCACTGGGTTTGTGTCAAGCTTGCTGTTCTTCAGCTACAGCTTCCTCGCTTGCGCCGTGTATGGCCTGTTAACCGGCACTGTTGGTTTCTTGGCTGCCTATGCGTTCGTCCGGCGGGTTTATAGGTACGACCACACCATTGGATTAGGTAGGCAACACGCTAATCTTGAGGATTACACAGTGCCATCAAGGTTGACTAAAGCATTGATACCACTACATCATCGTCTTCTTTAACTTCTCCAATCCAGAGACTCATTGTCTCCTCAACACATCTACTTTTTCATGACCTGATCTGTCCGATAAACATAGGTGAAGTCTTCTACTACCACGGCGTATAGTGTGCTATTTCTGCATTTTCTGGCCCGTCCGAATTTTTGAGCCTCCCCTTCCCACGTCTGTGTTGGACACAAGCCACACCTTCCCCTTCCTTGTTTCTTGTCTGTGCCCAGTAAGCTCAGTACTTTCATCCGCCACCTTGGGGAGGGCCTTTCATCTCGCGCCAGACTTCTATATTCGATATACGTTGGCTCAAAGCAAACGAGGTTCCATCACAAATACACTCCCACATTTGAGTACTCATCAGTTCAAATGTATTGCCATGTTCCGAAATCAGAGGACAAAGCTCCACCTAGTAGCATCAACGTCCACTATAAAGCCAACGTACAACTCAGTCTGTATCTGCGTTCATAGGCGTACCACTAGGAAGTCGCTAGAATGAATACACGAGTACGTCAAATCATGATCCTGTTGAGGACACAATTGCCACCCGGGCCCCAACCAATATAAAATTTGAGCAGCATAGACTTCGTACGTCGAGCCATTGTGGATTATTGAAAGCTACAGCGACATTCTCATCGCGGGGACACGTTGTTTTTCCAAGTAGAGGGAGCGGTTCGTACATCATAGTCCTCGTGATCAAACTCATTTTCAAAAGAAAAAAGCAACCTGCTGTACGCCTCGGGAAAAACATGCCAATCAAAGAATGCATACCACATTTCGCTCGAGAAAATGACTATGTACATCATAAGTCTATATCGGGTGAAACCATCCCGTGTTGAGTTGGAAATCTGTCCTCCGTACGTCGATGTAGACGTGGCCATGTGGAGCACATCGGACATATGGCAATCGCCGTGCATACAACAGAAACACAAGTGCCTATGCTAAGAAACAGCGGTGACTGTGTTTCGGCCTCCGAAGTACATACCTATTGTAAATCCGGGGACGATCTTAGACCGCTCCTCATGGCGTGCTCGGAAAGGGGGATTGCTCATTGTGGAGCTATGATACATTAGATTCTCTGTCCTTGTTTCATCCCTGTTTCTTAACGAGAATTGTGAGAAGGAATGGTAGAAGAAAAAAAGAGAAGAATTAAAAAGACAGAATTCCACCGGCGGGCTTCTCCGTCGCTATCTTGGATTCTCACGACGTCTCGTTTTCCTCTCCGGTAGTGTCAAATAATGCAGTCTGATTGGTTTTTAAGATAAGCAAGTGGAGCCTCTGCCCTTAAGCCTCGCCTCTAACCATGTTGGATCATCCCAGGAGAAAAAGGAATTGATTGATTGGTTGATAAAACAATGACACGATCCTATGGAGCCTAAGGTTTGCCTAGTGGTCGGCTTTCGGATTCACTAGACTGAAAGAAGTTAGCGTTTACAAGATCCTGTCACGCCGGAAACGCTGCCATGGACGTGGGCTGTCGATGCCGTTACCCACTCCGGGGTCGAGTGGACGTGTGAACTGCACTGAAGCTAGACTTTGTCTTAAATCCCCCGACATTGCCGTGATATCATTTTATTGCAATTATTAGTTTTAAGGGGGTGAGATAGGTGGTGGTTTTACATGCACAGTTGGTATTACGGTGGTATTGTGACTTTCCCAATGTGACAAATGCAACACCTGGACCACACGCGACCCCAATAGTGCCTGTAAAGTGGCGACTCACTCGGCACTTGCCCCGATGGGATTCCATTTCCTACAATTGATAATAATCACTGGTCTTGTGACTAGATATTCGCATTCG